TATATATGATTTCTCTCCCTTAATCCATTTTTAATTATACTTATAGATTTCAGTTACATAAACTTTTTGTTGTTGTTAATAAATCCTATGCTCCTAGGAGAAACCATTCTTTTTTTTTTTTTTAATTTTTTTTATTAGTGAAACACCATGAGGTACAGTTGTAGATTTACAATTTTTTGTGCTTGGGTTTGATTATACAATGATCAGATACCCATCCCTCCACCAGTGCCCATTTTCCACCACCATGGATAATATCCCCCCCACCCCCATCCCCCCATCCCCCCCTGCCTCTGTGGCAGGGCAATCCCCTGTGTTCTCTCTCTCCTTTTGGGTGTTGTGGTCTGCAAAAGAGGCATTGAGTGGCAAACATGTTCAGTCCATAGTCCACTTTCGACATGCATCTCCCCTCCTGGGAGGATCCTCCAAACACCCTTTATTTGGTGTTCCCTTCTCTATCTGAGCTGCCCTTTCCTCTAGAATGCCCGACTGGCCACTAAGCTATGGAGTAATCCTCCTGGTGCTGATCTCAGCTATTCTTGGGTATTAATCTCATATTTTGTTACTTTATGTCCCCCAGATGAATGCAATCTTTCTATGTCTATCCCTCTCTTTCTGACTCATTTCGCTTAGCATGATACTTTCCATGTTGTACCACTTGTATGTAAATTTCATGACTTCATCTTTTCTAAGAGCTACATAGTACTCCATTGTGTAGATGTACCAAAGAGAAACCATTTTTTTTTTTGGTTTTTTTTTTTTTTTTTTTGCTTTCTGGGTCACACCTGGTGGTGCACAGGGGTTACTCCTGGCTCTGCACTCAGGAGTTACTCCTGGCGGTGCTCAGGGGACCATATGGGATGCTGGGAATCGAACCCGGGTTGGCCGCGTACAAGGCAAACACCCTACCCGCTGTGCTATCTCTCCAGCCCCGAGAAACCATTCTTGATTACGATCATTTGAAGTCTTTGGCTTTGGAGATCTGAGTTGAAAGAGCAGAGAGGGTAAGGCACTTGCTTTTCATGTCACCAAATTGGTCCAGACTTTGGCCCCTCAAGCACAGCAGGAATCGACCTCCTTCCGCATAGATCCAGGAGTTCAACCTCCCATACTGTAGGGTGTGCGCCCCCTACCCCAAAATCAATGGAAATCTAATATCGTATCTAGATGTGGGCTGAGAAACTAATCTGGTCATAGCATTAAGGTTATTCTAGCCTTGAAAATGAGTAGGCAGCTATCCTGCTTTTTCTGGTTTCTGAAATAACCTGTATAACGGAATATCTGCTCCTCAAAAGCCTGGCAATAATCACTTGTAAAACTATCTAAGCTTGGAGCTTTGGGGAGGAGGATGAGGGTAAATCCTTTTGATCAGCTTTTTCAGTGTTTTAAAACACATTTTAAGGATAGTTATTGGTTTATTCATATTTTCTGAAGCTGCGTGTGACAATTTCAGCAGTTTTGTGGGTTTTTTCCCCCAGAAATGCATATTTTGTCTAGGTTTTCAAACTTAATACTGTGTTATATAACATTGGTTTCTCCTTGCTCCTCTTGCTCAGAGCTTAGGTTTTATTGAGTTTCAGCCATCATAGTGCTCTTTAAGCACGCCCAGTTCCATCAGGCACTCCTAGTCCTCTGTGTTTATCTTTAACCTCTCATTTGTGCTCTTCTTCCCCTATCTGTTAATCACTTATATCCCCCAAACAGGTGTTGTAACTTGTAAAGTCAAATTCTTCTGAGGGTTCTGGATTTTGTTTGTATGAGTGAAATACTGCTTTTCTCTTTCCCTTATGTCCTTTGTATAGTTTATTTTAGAGCAATGTCCTTTTTGTATAGACACAGGAAGACAGTTCATGCTATGCTTTTGTAACATGGGAGTTAATTGACTCAGAATAATATTTACTCCTGTGCATCGTCATATTTATTTGATGTAAGCTTCAGTTGCCCTTACTTCCTAACACCCCCCAAAGAGGGTCCCAGCTAGGGACCTGGATGGACCAAAGCAAGCTGCTGGCTACCCTGGCATCGAAAAGGAACAGGCTTAGTGCCATAAGAAGTACAGTAAGTTAAGAGCATCGTCATGGAACAAACTCTGTCATAACAAAAAGAAGTAACTGAATAAGGACCCTGCTGGGGTTATGAAAGATGAATCTGGCCTGAGGCTGTATTCTGGGATATAGAGAGATGTCCCCAGGAAGAATCGCACTTTAGGCTTAATATATCTTACTGTATCAAATATATCAAAATGTCTAGAAATATTATTAAGAAGTAAATTTTTTTTTTTTTTTTTTGCTTTTTGGGTCACACCTGGCAATGCACAGGGTTACTCCTGGCCCTGCACTCAGGAATTACCCCTAGCGATGCTCAGGGGACCATATGGGATGCTGGGACTCGAACCCGAGTCGGCCGCGTTCAAAGCAAATGCCCTACCCGCTTTGCTATTGCTCCAGCCCCAAGAAGTAAATTTAAGATGACTGTTTAAATGGTTTACTAGCTAAGAAAAGGAGAAAAAAAAGGAGAAAGCAATACATCCTTAGACCAAATTCTGCCCTTGGGCTGATAGATGAGATTTTTATCTTTGAGTTAATTTCCTAGTAGAATTTACCCTGAAGGAAGGACTTTACAACTGTTCATTGTTATGATAAAGTTCAGCCACACCTATGTGTAATTGCTACTCCCATCCTTCTGGATTTCTATATGTAACTAATGCTGTGAGACTTGAATAAATGGCCACTAATTACCAACCAGCCAACTTGTGGCCTTGCTGTCTGCTGTCCTGGGAAGGTGGTTCTTGGCCACCAAACACAATTGAACTAACACATGAGTTTGCTTATTTATTTTGGGGAGGAAATTGGTTGGTGCTGGATTTTCTCGTATGGGGCATCTACTGAGCTGTTGCTGAGCTACATCCCAAGTCCTTTTTTTTTTTTAATTTTTATTTTATTATTTTTTGCTTATTGGGTCACACTGGCATTGCATCAGGGGTTACTCCTGGTTTATGCACTCAGGAATTACTCCTGGCAGTGCTTGGGGGACCATATGGGATGCTGAGACTCGAACCCTGGTCTGCTGTGTGCAAGGCAAACACCCTATCTGCTATGCTGTCGCTCTAGCCTCTCAGGTCCTTATTTTTATTTACTATTATTTATTTATTTTGAGGCCACACCTGGTGTTGCTTGGGGCTTACTCCTGACTCTGTGCTCAAGGATCACTCCTGACTGGCCCTGGGGGACCATATAGGGTCCTGGAGATCAAGTCCAGGTCAGCTGTGTGCAAGTCAAGTCCCCTGACCACTGTACTATCTCTCTGGCCCCATAGAATTTTATTTTTAACCAGTTATTTATTAGTATGTCTTTACTTTCTAGATACAGTAGTACATATTTTTAAAAATTTCCTCTTATTATTCTTTGGGTTCCCTTTTTTCCAGATTGAGCTCTAGCAATAGTTTCTTAAGAATGTCTTCCATTGCTCATCTTTAAAAATTTGCATATATTACATCTGAAATACCATTGGTTCTATGGTAAAACATTTCTAATAAGATAACAAGAACTTGGAAATAAGCTGTTGTGAGCACTTTTTCTTTCTTTTGTTTTTTGAGCCTCATCTGGTGATACTCAGGTCTTACTCCTGACTTTGTGCCCAGGAATCTCTCCTGGAAGGCACAGGGGACCATATGGTGTTCTGGGGGTCAAACAGGGTCTGCCACACGCAAGGCAAACAACCCATCCACTCTACTATCACTCTGGTCCCTAAAAGGCCTGATCTTTTTCTAAGTGTCACCACTTTCACTTGGCTACAGCAATTTAAAATCATTCATGCTGTAAGATACATAAAAGTTTCCAGGATCTTAACATGTGAAAGAACATATAGAGGGACAGGGAAATAGCTCAACAGGCTGGAGCACCAGCTCTGCGTGCGGAGGCCTAGCTAGGTTAATTCCACAGCTCCAGGTGTTCCCTCAAGTGCCGCCTGGAAGCAGTTCCCAGCACTGGTGGCAAATAGCCCCCAGCAGCATCATGTATGGCCCCAAGACAAAAACCAGATACAGGCCCTAGAATCAGAGTCACTAAAATAAGATGCTTTTAATTTGACCCAAGTTCCTTCACCAATGTGTCCTTCCCTCCACCATTGTCCCCAGTTTCCTGTCTACACCCCAAATCTGTCCCCTTGGCAGGCACAAAATAATTTATTTCATATTGCTTATTCCAACAACATGGTAAGTTGAATTATTAAAAACAAAAAACCAAAAACAGTTCAGTAAAAGAAAATTTGTAGAAATTTTTGTGTCTCACAATGGGATTATTAAAGTCATTGAGGATTACTGACTGTTGCTGTGTGGCCTTCGCTTACTGAACTTGGTGGACTTTCATGCTACTTTCCCATCTAATTTGCTACGCTCCTACTAGGCTGTCAGTATCGCAGGATTGGGAATTGCTCCTGCAGGACCAGCAACTGTAGAATTGGTGTGATTCTCGTCCTGCTCCCTTGGGAGGAGGCCCGTAGACCAGCGTACCTGTAACTCTCATCAGCTTGCCGTCTCTTCTGAGATGAGTTGTGAAGCTGTGAATGAAGACCGTTTGTATGGTGGCAGCTGTGAGATGTGGGTATAGCTGCTGGGCTTCAGCAGGGTGGGGACTCGCCCCCCCCCCCCAAAGGGTCCCATAGTTTAATAAGATACACTTTGATATCAGCTATTGAAAGATGTGTATTTTTTTAGAATAAACAAAATGGAAATAAAGTTTCTGGGCATTGCATCAAGATCTCTTAATTTTTTTCCTAAGAGGTATTAAAATTTCTGAATTCAGCAAATGAAATTGCCTCAAAGAAATTAACTTTTTAGTGGTAAATGCCATGCCTGATAAATTGTTAGCTGAAAATGGAATCTCCAAGTAATACTCATAAAGATAACCTACCTTTCTTTTTTTTCTTTCCTTCTTTCTTTCCTTCCTTCCTTCCTTCTTTCTTTCTTTCTTTCTTTCTTTCTTTCTTTCTTTCTTTCTTTCTAGGCAAAAGCAACAACAATCAAAGAAGCCCTAGCCAGATGGGTGAGTATGTGAGATTTTACTTCCTTTGGAACCCATACAAGGAGAAGTTTGGGATAGTTATTTCAATATAACCATTTAATAAAAAGAATATTTGTGGTATTTGAATCCGTTTGCTATCTAAACTGTAGAGATAGATGTGTGAACCTGCACAGTTGATCAAATTGTGCAGAATATCAACACAAACATAGAAATGTATGCATATACAAATGGGAACAAGTAAAATTTGGGAAATCTGAATGAAATCAGTGGATCGTATCAATACCTATATCTTGTAATATTATACTATTGTTTTGGAAAAATACTACCATTGGGAGAAACTGAAGAAAATATATAAGGGATCTCTGGATTTTTTTTTTTTATAAATGCTGATCGATCTTCTACTTGTCTTAAAATTTTCAATTAAAAAGTCTTACTTTCAGGCCAGGGATAATGAATGCTTCAAGGGCTAGGGCACATGCTGTACACAAGGGGCCCCAGGGTCAGTCCCCCACTCCTTTGGGAGTGATCCTTGACATAGCTGACTGGGCCTGGCATGGAGCACACGCTCTGCATGTGGGAGCCCCAGGTTCAGACTCCAGCACATTTGGGAGTGGCTTGGAACATCATCCGGCATGGCCTACCTGCAGCGGAGCTCCAGGCTGCAGATGGTTTAGAGGGCTGGAGCACATGCTGTGCATGTCCAAGCCCTGGGATTTGATCCCTGGCACCACATGATTCCCCAAGCACAGTTGGATGCAGCAAAACAAAATATAAATTGGTTTTTGCTTACAAGAAGGTTTGGTGATGGGAGCTTGGAGGACGCTTTGGACACAGCCAGTGGTGCTCAGGGGTTAGTCCTGGCTCTGTTCAGGAGTGACACTGGTACTTAGGGCACCATATATGGTGCATGGGACTTGAAAGAGGGTTTTAGTCTCGACCGTCAGTTGCAAGGCAAATGCCTTGCCTTAAATACTCTTTTGCCCCTGCTCCTTGTAGTTTTTTGTTTTGTTTTGTTTTGGGGCTATACCTGGCAGTGCTCAGGACTTACTTCTGACTCTGTGTTCAAGGATTGTTCCTGGCAAGATTGTGGAGTGGGGAGCCTATGTGGTGCTGGGGATCCAACGTGGGTCAGCTTCATGCAACGCAAGCGCCCTCCCTGCTGTACTATTACTCGAGCCCCACGCCTGGAAAACTTTACCTAGTCAGTTATTACTCTAAGACAGCTTAAATCTCTTGTGATAGTATATAAGTTTTTTTTTTTATTTCCTTTAAGCACTATCAGGAATCCCCAACTACTATCAGGAGCCTTGGCCCCAAAATAAAAATAGATAAATGTCATATTCAGGTGATATGGTAGCATATGTTTGTGAGTTATCTAGGCTTTAGATAGTTGGTATTTTTTTTTTTGTCTCGATAACTTGAACACAGATTATAAATGTAGAAAAATAAAAACCATGGGGGTCGGAGCGATGGTTCAGTGGGCAGGGTGTTTGCCTAGCACACAGCTGACCCAAGTTCAATCCCCAGCATCCCATTTGGTCCCACGAGCACCACCAGGGGTAATTCTTGAGTGCAGAGCCAGGAGTAACCCTTGAGCATCGTTGGGAATGACCCAAAAAAGAAAAAAAAAAGGTATGAATAGCTGATAATAATAATAGTACAAGAATGATTAACAGTGGCATTATTATGAAAATACAAACAAAATCATAATAAGAAATTACCTCAGGAACCAGAGAGATGGTACAGGAGTTGAAGAGCTTGCTGTGCTTGTGTTCGACCACTTGTTCCATATGCAGTCCTTCAGTACTGTCAGGAGTGATTCCTGTGCACAGAGCCAGGAGTAAGCTCCGAACACAGCCAGGTATGGCCCCAAAACAAACAAAACAAAATGAAAAAGAGTGATGTTTAAACCTGGAGGGCTGGGGGAGATATTTAAAGGTAGGAATTCTCAGGAAAATGTTTATATTGTTGGATTTTGTTTTGTTTCAGTTTGTGTTTTTGGCTACACCCTGCTGTGCTCAAGGCTTACTCTCGATTCTGTATTCATGGACTACTTTTGGCTGGGCTCAGGGAACCATAGGGATGCGGGGAGTTGAACTCAAGTTGTCTGTGTGCAAGTGTCCTGCCTGCTGTACTGTTGCTCTAGCCCCAGATTGTTGGGTGTTGTTTCTCTTTAGTCATTATAGTCTTTAGAAGAATTTTAAGTAAGCTTATTTACTCCTTTCAATTTGCGGGCCTGGGGCTCAAGCCATAGTACAGCAGGTAGGGCATTTGCCTTGCATCAATACCCAGCATCCCATATGGTCCCCCAAATACAGCTAGGAGTAATTCCTGAGTGCAGAGTCAGGAGTAACCCCTGAGCATAGCTGGGTGTGACCCAAAAAGCAAGAAAAAAAATGTCAATTTGTGGGCCCTGGCAATAAATTATGTCGATAAGCCATGTAGAAACATGGTTATCAGATTCAGTAATAAATGTCAATAAATTAATAAGGTAAAGAATGCAGGGTTACTAAGTACTGATAATAGTTTTAAAATAACATTATAAATCACCTCTCTGCCTTTTGGCTAAGATAAAGTGAAATGACATTATAAAATCTTGACAAATTCTGATCTTTTTCAGTTTTATGTTATAATCAGAAATTATTTTTCCCCCAATTAATTTTTACTATAGGAAGAGAAAACCAGTCAGAAGCCATCCGAAGCCAAAGAGATAAAGCTTTATGCCCAGATTCCCCCTATAGAGAAAATGGATGCATCTTTGTCCACTCTTGGTAACTGCGAGTAAGTTCTTGGTTTTTTTTTCCTTCTAATATTGCTGTTGTTTCTCTTCTAATTACTCATACTAGAAATATTTGTTTTTGGCAATACTACAGGAAGTAGGGCACTGCCTTGCACAGGTCGACCTAGGTTTCATGCCTGGCACCTCATATAGTTCCCAGAGTACTGCCAGGAGTGATTCCTGAGTGTCACCTGGTGTGGCCCAAAAACAAAACAAACAAAAACACAGAAATAAAGGAAAAGAAATACTTCTTTGTGTGTGTGTGTGTATGGTCTTCCTTTGTATTAAATATTTGGCAAGATGGTATCTCACTAATAATAAAAAAAAGTGCTTGGCAAGGCCAAATACCAAATATTTTTTTAAATAGGAATATAAAAAGGAACCTGAGCAATATAGTGTTTTTTTTTTACTGTGTAATTTTTATAATATACAGGGGAAGTAGAAATTTCCTTGACTTTTTGGAGATCCTAAATAACAAATCTAGTACTGCCATAAAATTTACTACTTTCTTTGGTAAAATCATCCCTAAAAGTCAGTAGTATGCTTATCAGACATCTAAAGGATAAAACTTTTGTTGTTTATTTGTACTTTTTGGTTTTTGGGTCATACATAGCAATGCTCAGAGTTACTTCTGGCTCTACATTTATAAATCACTCCTGGTGGTGCTTGTAGGGAACCATATGGAATGCTGGGGATTTAACCCAGGTAAGATGCATGCAAGGCAAGTGCCATCTTCCTAGCCTTGAAAAAACATTCTTAAGTTGTGGAAATACATTGTAAAACATCTAGGTAGTATAAAAAGCACACTGAAATACCAAATATATACCACCTTTGAGAACCTTTGATAGGATTTTTTTATGTAGAGTTTTCAAATTTTTTTTTCTAACTGGAGCATGTTACTTATTATGTAATCCTATTTTCCTATGGCTTTAAGTATCAGATGCAAATTAAGTTTTTAAAGATTTTTTTGGGGAGAGGGGCACATCTGCTGGTGTTCAGAGGTTATTCCTGGCTCTGTACTCAGGAATTATTCCTGGTGTCCGGTTGGTGCTCAGGGGACCATCTGGGGTGCCAGGGATTGAACCTGGGTCTGCCAAATGCAAGGCAAATGCCTTACCCCCTGTACTATCACTCCAGCCTCTTAAAGGAACTAAACTCTTTACATAGGGGCTAATTTGAGGCATTTATATTATATCTTCTAATCATGTTCTCAGGCAACAGTGTCACTTGTAAAGACTCTAAAATGTCAAAGAATCACTTGGAATTCCTCTTTGTATTCTACTGATTTCCTAACTACCATCTCCTTATACAGAAGAGACACCCTATACCAAATTTATAGAGACTGAATTTATAGGGATGAAACGTAGGAATCTGCGTTAATAATAAGCAACTTAGATTTTTTTTCTTTATGGGTCACACCCAGCGATGGTTAGGGGTTACTCCTGGTTCTGCACTCAGGAATTAGCCCTGGCGGTGCTGGGGGTACTATATGGATGCAGGGGATCAAACCTGGGTTGGCCATGTGCAAGGCAAACACCCTACCCGCTGTGCTATTGTTCCAGCCCCGGGTTTTGGACATATATTTGTAAACCTGTGCATTAGATCAATATCTGTCTTTGGAATATAAAGAAAAATAAAGATATCTAGTTATTTCGTGAAGCTTGTTCTTTGTGATGAGAGCACATTATATTTCATAAAAATCTACCTTGGATAAATTTTTGGATTAAAACATGATTTCAGTGCTTGTTTTTTTGTTTTTGTCCATACCCGGGCTGTTCCCAGAGGTGTTCAGGCCACTGCAGTGGTGGGAATCAAACCCGGGCATGCAAGACAAATTCTCTGCCACAGAGCCACAACATATGCTCAAAGGCATGATTTCAAAAAGCATGATTCTAAAGTGGTCAAATACCTTTTATCATAAATAAATAAATAAATAAATAAAGTTGCAGGACCACAGTCTTATTGTGAATTAATGTTATTTTTTGTTTTTGATGGGAGTTTGGGGGCACATCTGGAAGTGCTCAGGGGCTTACTCCTGGCTTGGTGCTCGGGGATCACTCCTGGTAGTACTAGGGTTCATAAGTGGTGCTGGGGAGTGAAGGCAAGGCAAGCACCTTACTTTCTGTGCTGTCTCTCTGGCACTAGCAATTTTTTGTTGAATTTGCACGGCAGCGCCTGGCAAGCTATCCGTGATGTATTCAATATGCCAAAAACAGTAACAACAAAGTCTCACAATGGAGATGTTACTGGGCCCGCTCGAGCAAATCAATGAACAGCGGGAGGACAGTGCAGTGCAGTGCTACATAAATCCTTACCAACAGTAAACATTTGAGAAGGTTTTGCACCCTATATCAGAGCGTCTTAGAGGACTTCCTAGCGTATTTGTATTTGTGTTGACAGTCGCTCTTTAGGTACCCTAAACAAGTGTTAAAGAATTATTCCCAATTGCATTTTCAGATTCAAGACACTACGTTTTTCATTGCTAGTCTTTGAAGTGTGGAATGACAGGAAAATACACAAATTTGACCATTAATTTACACTTTCTAGTAATTGCTTTTACTATGTCAAGCAAACAACAACAAAAAGAGAACAACTTCTCTTTAAGTCAAATTCAAGAGGATAATATATGCTGTCATTTAGAATCAAATTTTGTGGGCTTAAATTTGGCTCTGCTACTTTCTGGCTTATAATGTGAGGCAGATTGCGTGACTCTTTGTGCCTCAGTTTCCTCTTTTGTAAAATAAAGATGTTATAAAATTTGTTGCTGTGATGGTTAAAGTAGGTAATACATGTAAGCAGTAGTATTTAGAATTAGTTAGAATAATATGGATACATATTAAGTATTTAATAGAATTAAGTGGGGGTGGGGTTGGGGGGTGTCCCCTGGCGGTGCTCAGGGGACCATTTAGGTGCTGGGGATTGAACCTGGGTCAGACATGTGTAATGCAAGTGCCTGACCTGCTGTACTATCTCTCTGGCCCCAGTTTTCTTTTTTTTTGGTGGTGTTTTGGGGTGAGGGGGGTGAGGTGGAGGATGGTAGCTACAGAAGCAGTCCAAGAGCTTACTCCTGGCTCTGTTCTTGGGGGATCATATAGTGCCAGAGATCAAACAGGATTTTACAAGGCGAGTATAATAACCCTGTACTATCCAGCTAAAATTTGTGTTGATTTTTTAAAAAAAAAATTGGGACACTCCCAGTGATGCTTGGCCCAACAGTTTTCTAAGGCAACTAGGACTGCTACCCACTGCAGTATTGAAAGGGTGTGTTTCCTTCCATCCTAGTGGATCAAACTCAGAGCCATACTCACACTAGCTTCTTAAACATGTGGAGTGGGTCGTTATTCCATATGAGATTGTGTAATTGAAGGAAGGATGGCAAAAGTTTTGTTTAAAAATGAAGTTATGGGTGCTGGAGAGATAGTACAAGTTAGGTGCTTGCTTTGCATGGAGTTGACCCCGGGTTCAGTCCCCATTACCCCATATGATCCCTCAAGGCTGCCAGCAGTGATTCCTAAGCACAGAGCTAGGAGTAAGCCCTGAGCACAGCTGGGTGTGGCCGCAAACAAAAATAAATAAGTAAATTTATGATTTATTGTCAATGAATGTTTGAATTCTATATCTGTTATATGCCTAGGGTCACGTAAAAATTAGCAAAAGCAATCTTCAGTGGAAAATGTGTAAGAAGCCCTGCTAAACACTTTGCCACATTCTTCGACTAATAAAATTAACTTTTTGGGGGACATTTTTACACGAACTTGACCAGAATATTAAACCTTTATTCAAGCGTCAAAGACTAAGAATCTGTAGTTGTGTTTCCTTAAAAATTTGTCTTTACAGTCTACAGAATGGGAAAGGATATTCACCGAATACACATCTGACAAGGGGTTGATATCCAGGATATACAAAATACTGGTTAAACTCCACAAGAAGAAAACATCCAACCCCATCCAAAAATGGGGCAATGAAATGAACAGAAACTTTCTCAAAGAAGAAATCCGAATGGCAAAAAAGCACATGAGAAAATGCTCTACATCATTAATCATCAGGGAGATGCAGATCAAAACCACAATGAGATACCATCTCACACCTCAGAGACTGGCCCACATTCAAAAGAACAAAAGCAACCGATGCTGGCGTGGATGTGGCGAGAAAGGGACACTCCTTCACTGTTGGTGGGAATGTCCACTGGTTCAGCCCTTCTGGAAAACAGTATGGACAATTCTCAAAAAATTAGAAATTGAGCTCCCATTTGACCCAGCAATACCACTCCTGGGAATATATCCCAGAGAGGCAAAAATGTATAGTCGAATTGACATCTGCACTTGTTTGTTCATTGCAGCCCTCTTTACAATAGCCAGAAACTGGAAGAAACCTGAATGCCCAAGAACAGATGACTGGTTAAAGAAACTTTGGTACATCTACACAATGGAGTACTATGTAGCTCTTAGAAAAGATGAAGTCATGAAATTTACATACAAGTGGTACAACATGGAAAGTATCATGCTAAGCGAAATGAGTCAGAAAGAGAGGGATAGACATAGAAAGATTGCATTCATCTGGGGGATATAAAGTAACAAAGTATGAGATTAATACCCAAGAATAGCTGAGATCAGCACCAGGAGGATTACTCCATAACTTAGAGGCCAGCCGGGTATCCTAGAGGAAAGGGCTGTTCAGATAGAGAAGGGAGCACCAAATAAAGGATGTTTGGAGGATCCTCCCAGGAGGGGAGATGCATGTCGAAAGTAGACTATGGACTGAACATGTTTGCCACTCAATGCCTCTTTTGCAGACCACAACACCCAAAAGGAGAGAGAGAACACAGGGGATTTCCCTGCCACAGAGACAGGGGGGATGGGGGGATGGGGGTGGGAGGGATATTATCCATGGTGGTGGAAAATGGGCACTGGTGGAGGGATGGGTATCTGATCATTGTATAATTGAAACCAAAGCACAAAAAATTGTAAATCTACAACTTTAAAAAAAATAAAATAAAATAAAGGGAAAAAATGGAAAAAAAAAAATTTGTCTTTACAGAGCAAGAGTGATGGTACAGTGGCTTGAGCGCTTACCTTACACATGGCCTGCCTGGTTTCAGCCCCCGGTACTACATATGGTCCCCTGATTCCCACAGGAGTGATCCCTGAGTGCAGAGCTGGGAGAAAACCCTGAGTACTGCTGCGTGTGGCCCTAAAAACAAACAAAAATTTGTCTTTGTAGAATTATTTATGGGCATAAAAAAATACAGGTAAATATATACAAATTACTAAGAGTAATCTTTAGGGATCAAAGTAATTAACCTATGGGTGATTAAAATTACATATGACTTATTACTGTAGCACTGTAGCACTGTTCTCCCGTTGTTTCATCGATTTGCTCGAGCGGGCCCAGTAATGTCTCCATTGTGAGACCTGTTGTTACTGTGTTTGGCATATTGAATACATCACAGGTAGCTTGCCAGGCTCTGCCCTGTGGGCGAGATACTCTTGGTAGCTTGCCGGGCTCTCTGAGAGGGGCGGAGGAATTGAACTCGGGTCGGCCAGGTCGGCCGCGTGCAAGGCAAATGCCCTACCCACGGTGCTCCAGCGACTTCTCAAATTCATAAATCTAAATTTTTGAAATATTTAATGGATGAGAAAATAATCTTCATACACATATATATAGAACTCTTTTTCATTAAAAAAAAAAAGGTCATATAAAATGGGTTGTTTTGCTGAGTGGTTTAACTTTACTTCATACTGATACCTTTCCAGGTCAATATCTACAGTCTATATTCCATTATCTGTTTCTTAGTGAATGGAAATGTATGGATCTCTCTTATTTTTCATTATTACATAATAGAATAAATAACCTAGTTAGTAAATCACTGTATGTATCTGCCCTGTTGTGGTGCTGGACCTCACATTGTGTGATATGCACCCTACCTTGAAGCCAGATAGCCAACCCACGCCCATATTTTGGGGGCATTTGTATTATAGTAGTATTATTTGTATTAGAAATGTAATGCTGAGTTACATAATACATGTATCACATAATACATATACAATAAGTATATTATATAAAATTACTTAAATGTTAAAAATAAATATCAGAGTGGAGGAGTGGAGATCGCGTAAGTGGTAGAGCAGAGGCCTTGCTAGTGAGACCCTGACTTTGATTTCTGGCATCACATCTTCTCACCCCTACCTCATCCCCTAGCACGCCACTGTGACCCCTGTTTAAAAAAGAGTAATGACAAACAGGGACCTGGTTCCAGGGGAGCAGCACAAACCTGGGTTGTGTGAAGACCTCACCACAGGCTGGCCTGTGGCTTCACCTCAGTACCCCTGGGTTTGGCTCTGATAGCTGAAAATTATATATGTCGTATATATCATCTTATGTGGGTATTTGGGGATAATTTCTGTTATGTCACTTAAGCGTTTTTTTTTTTTCATATTAATGCAAGATTTTCTTTTTCCTTTTTCTTCAAGGAAACTTTCACTGTCTACAAACTGCATTGAAAAAATTGCCAACCTGAATGGCCTAAGTAAGTGATCCATAGTAACAGATGGTTCGCATCTGGTTTAGATATTGGAATAAGCATGTCAGCGACATTGTGTCATTCCAGAAGCTGGCACCTGTTCTGTAATTGTCAGGAAATAAATCTTCTAAGTATTTGCTTGAAGTTTGATTATTTTAAAATTAGGGAAAACGTGAAACCAGGAAATTCAAGAAGTTTATAGTTTGCGTAGAGTTAGAATTGAGATGTGTTAAATAGAAAGTCAGACGTTTAACATTTGTTGTTCAGATTTGTTTTGTGTGTGTGTCCCACGCGTCGTTTCTGAAATGCAGTTGCTCGCCACCCCTGTTCTTCCTGACTTCCTTTGTGAGTGCCATTGCTTCCTTCCCCGCAGCTGAGGCCTCTGACACTGTGCCAGTTTTCTATGTCTGTTAAAACTTGGTGACTTAAAATAACAGAAACTTATTCTCTCAAAGGTCTGGGGGCCTGGAGACTGGAATTAGTTCCACTGGGGCAAAGTTGAGATTTCGACAGAACGCACTCCCTCTGGAGACGTTAGAGGAGAAATGTTTCTTGTCTTCCTGATTCTCATGGCTGACACATTCCCCAGCATGGACTGCATTATGCCACTCCGTTCGAGAGTCACATCTTCTTTTGAAAAGGCATTTTGTTTGTTTGTTTGTTTTGTTTTTTTGTAGAGACCTCTCCTAGTGGTGCTTGGTGAGGTTGGCTGGGCATGTGGTCCTGGGGATCAGACCCAGGACCCCTCACAGGTGCTAAACATGTGCTCTGCCACTGAGCCCTCCGCCTAGGCCCTCTGCTATCCAGATTGTCAGATATTTCTCTAGCTCTCTCATACATGGAGCCACTTGATTGCATAGGGAACACCTGTTTAATGAAGAGCTTCTCCCTAGCTCAAGATCCCTAAATTAATCACACATGTGCTGTACTGTAATTTGTGTGTGTATGTGCCATGTAATTGTATCATTCACAGATTTTAGGGATTAGGATGTTGGTATTTTTCTGTGGGACTATTATTTAACCTACTATATTTACCCTCTACTTCCCCAAAGACCCTGCATTTGAGTTAATCACTAAGTTGATCACTAATTCTACTCTTTGAAAGAAATCTCAGATAATTTGTTGTTGCTATTTCTAGGAACTATACCTTGTTGGGCATTTTTTTTTTTAAGTTTGTTAGTCTTGGGGCCACACCTATGGTGCACAGAGCTTACTTTTTGCTCTGTGCTCAGGGAATCACTCCTCGTGAGTTGAGGGGACTATATGTCATACTGGGAATTGAACCTGGGTCAGCCATTTGCCAGGCAAATGGCCTACCCCCAGTACTATCTCTCCAACCTCTGTTGGTTTTTTGTTGTATTTTTTTGTGCCATACCTGGTGGTGCTGAGGGCGTACTCCTGGCTCTGTGCTCAGAGATCACTCCTGGAAGGGATCAGGGGACCATATGGAATGATGGAAATTCAATCGGGGTTGGCCACATGCAAGACAAATGTCCTGCCTGCTGTATTTTTCTCCAGCCCTACCTCAGGACTCTTAATGGCTTCTCTTATTTAGTAAGAACGAAATGCCTTAATGCTTCACTTGTGGCGAAACATTCAAGTCATTTTAAAACTGTCACCTGCACACACCAGACACATCACATTTCTTTGTTATTCCATGCACTTGTTATACTTCAGTGGTTTTCTTTTCTTTTGGGATGTGGGGGGGTCAGGGGATGTGGGCACAGTGGCAATGCTTAGGACTTACTCCTGGCTCTACATTAGGGATTACTCCTGGTGCTGAGGGCCCATAAGGGATGCCAGAGATCAAACCTGGGTGGGTCACATGCAAGGCAAGCACCTCACCCACTGTACTATTGCTCCAACCCTCAGTGCTCTTCCACTGAGAATATACCCTTCCTCTTGCAGTATATCCTACAAGAAACAAGTTACTGACAGCATAATCATTGCACCCTGTATTTTCCAGTAATACCAGCATAATCTTTATTAAAAGTTTTTTTGGGGGTCATACCGGCAGTGTTTGGGACTTACACTCAGGGATCACTTCTGGTGGTGTTTGGGGACCATATGGGGTGACAGGGATCAAACCTGGGTCATCTGCATGCAAGTCAAGCACCTTGCCCACTGTACTATCTCTCTGGTCTCCCAGATAATTTTTTTTCTTTTTGGGTCACACCCAGCGATGCACAGGGGTTACTCCTGGCTTTGCGCTCAGGAATTACTCTTGGAAGTGCTTGGGGGAACATACTGGATGCTGGGGATCGAACCCAGGTCAGATGCGTGCAAGGCAAACGCCCTACCTGCTGTACTCTCTCTCCAGCCCCCACCCAGATAGTTTGGGTTTTTTTTTTTTTCTTTTTGGGTCACACCCGGCAATGCACAGGGGGTTACTCCTGGCTCTGAACTCAGGAATTACTCCTGGTGGTGCTCAGGGGACCATATGGAATGCTGGGAATTGAACCCGGGTCAGCCGCAAGCAAGTCAACCGCCCTACCTGCTGTGCTATCGCTCCAGCCCCAACCAGATAGTTTTTAAATCACTAAACTTGTGGTTTCCAAGAACCTGTCCATGATGATAAACTTGAATTTATTGTACTAATCTGACTAAAATGAGGAAGCACTCAATGTTATATTGTGTTTTCCTTTAAGTTTATTTTTTTTCATTGCTGTAGAATTGTATTTCTTTTTAACATAAGCCCCTGAGATATAGAAGGTATCCTATTCTTTTTTTCTTTTTAAAGCAGGCACAAAGTATTTTATATTACTTGTTCTAACTAAAGGGCTAGAATTATTAAAAAAACAAACAAACAAAAAAAAACCCCAAAACTTCAGTAAAAGAAAACTTGTAGTATCCCACCATGGGGTCATTCAGTCATTTGTCTGGTGGCTTGCTAAGCTGTGGCTATTAGAGCCTTTCTATGTTTTTGTTTCTATTTATTGTTTTATTGAGCTTAGTTGGCTCCTATGCTACTTTCCCATTTAATTTGGAGTGTTCCTACTGGACTGTCAGTATTGTGGGATTGGGAGGTGTTGTGTGCTTCAGGAGCTCCAGGATCTGTGGAACTGGGATGATGTGTTTTTATGCCTGCAGCTGTGGGATTGGATGTGACTGCTGGGGCTTCCCAGAAGTCGGGGAGGGGGGGGGGGGTCATTGTAGGATAACACTGTTTTGTCCTTCCTGCATAGCCTCAGGTAGTTTGGGTTTATTGGGTTGCTCCCATCACAGTGTTCCCATTCCTCTGTGTTTATTTGTAACTTCTTTCTTTGTGCTTTGTTGACTTATAAATCTTGTTTTTCTCTTCTCCCTAAATCCTTTGATTCAGAGCAATGTCCTTTTTGTATGGATACAAGAAGACAGTATATGCTATGCTTTTGTATTGTGACTCTCAGTGATATTTCCCTCCTGGGCATCTGTTCCCTCACCTAAGCCTCAGCTGCTTTTTACTTCCTAGCACCCCAAAAGCAGGGTCCAGGCGAGGGTCCTGGATGGAACCAGAGTAAGCAGTAAGCTATGTGCTACCCTGGCATCGAGATGGGCCTGGCCAAAGCGCCAAAATGCTGTCATGATCCCAAAAATAGTAACTAGATTCGGACCCTGCTAGGGTTAGGAATGATTAATCTGGCTTGAGCACTGTAGTCTGAGTCTGTGGCAAGATGTTCCCAGAGGAGCTGCCCTTCAAGCCTCAATGTTATCTCTTACTGTGTCCATATAAAAATAACTAGTATTGGGCTGGAGAGATAGCACAGCGGATAGGGCGTTTGCCTTGCGCGCGGCCAACCCGGGTTCAATTCCCAGCATCCCATATGGTCCCCTGAGCACCGCCAGGAGTAACTCCTGAGTGCAGAGCCAAGAGTAACCCCTGTGTATCACCACGTGTGACCCAAAAAGCAAAAAAATAATAATAATAATAATAGTAACTAGTATTGATATGTTGATAGTTATTGGACTGAGGAAAAGAGAAAAACACCTTAAGGGGTATTTTGCCCTTGGACAGTCAGGAAGGGCCTTAGAATACCTTTTAGGTGTTGTTCCCTTTGAATTTGGTGGGCCCTCAGGAAGGGCTTTCTTATGTTGTTTTGGCTACCTGACTGGGGTCAGTGTCTGCCTGGAGAGGAGACTAGAATGGGAGGCTCAGGGAGACTGGGGCAGGCTTGTGGGAAGAATGGAATAAAAGGCAACTGATCAATCAACCGGCTTGGCCGTTGTCTCCTCCGCCGTCTGCCCCAGGGCCCGGGCTGCCCAGCTGGGGGAGCGGCCCTGGCCCCCCAGAACCTGGGTGGCCAGGGAAAGAGCCTTTGGGGCCACCCCCTGGCCGCCCTCAAAGATGTTTTTACACAGGGTTGTGGGGGTAAGGTGAGGGAAGGCTGATATCCCCACACTCTGAGAAGACCCCAGAGTTTTCAGCCTGGGAACTGGTGTACCTGAAATTTTCTTTGGCATCTTTGCAGCGATTAGTCATGAAAGCAGTGCAGTTGGCAGCAGTAGGGTGTGGGTGTGGCTGCCAGGGCTTTGGCAGAGCCGGACCTAGTCTGCCTCCCTCCCCAGGGTGCCCCCAAGTTTTCAGCCAGAAGGCCAGTGTACCAGTGAATTTCAGTGGTTTGGCTTGCATCTCTTCCAAAATAAGTTGTGAATCTGAGAAGCTGGGCCAGTGAGTTTGCATGGCAGCAGCTGTGGGATGTGGGTGGCCTCGTTTGTCTTTTATTATACTTAGAACAACGTTAGCCCTGAGAAGCCAAGACCTCTTTCAAATCCTTGAGAATGATTTGAAAACCTTACAGAACATTTGGACCTTTGAAAAGAAAAACTTAAAAAAAAACAAGCCAAACCCAGGAGTATTTTTAAACCTTCACATAAAGGTCTCATCTCAGTTTTTTTTTTTTTTTTGCAAATAAATTTGTTTTCTCTGTAATTAAAATAACTTGGTATTTATGTAACAGTGGTTTTCTTTTCACACACAAAAAAATGACTGTGATGGGCCAGGGAGATAAATAACTGCTATATATGCAAGGAGGAGGAGCTGTGAGTTTGATTCTGCCTGGTTCCCTCAACACTGCTGGGAATCATACCCAAGCGCTGTACTGGAAGTAGCTACTGAGCACCACAGGTGTGCCTCCTCCCCCAAAATGACTATGACAATTGTCAAAAATGGATATAAGACTTGCAGTGGTTTTTAACTCATAAACTAACTTTGGTTATTTGGCTGTGACTTTGGGATAAATTGTATTGAGTTCCTGAAACTGAGTGTAAAAAAGTACTTCTTGATCTACTATTGATACCTGCCATAGGCAAGGAGTGAGGTAGCATAAGCATTTTGTGCTGTGCATTTGCTATGAATCTTCTTGCTTTAATTCTAAGTACTGTAATTAGTACTTCTTAGGCTGGAAAGATAGTACGAGGCTTAAGGTGCTTGCCTTGCATGTGGTTGGCCCCAGTTTAATTCCCAGCACCACATACAGTTCCCCAAGCACTGCCAGTACTGACCACTGCATATAGAGTCAGGAGTAACCCCTGAGCACTGCTGAGTGTATGGCCCTTCCTCCCACACACAAAAAAAGAAAAGCTAGTACTTCTGCAGTCTCACCAAGGAGAATAAACTTTGAGGCAAAAAGATGTCATCTGGGGCTGGAATGACACTACTGTGGGTTGGGCAGTTGCTTTGCACACAGCCAACCTGACTTCGATCCCCAGCATCCCATATGGTCTCCTGAGCCTATCAAGAGTGATTCGAGTGCAGAGCCAGGAGTAACCTCTGAGCACTGCAAAGTGTGGTTCCAAAACAAAGAACAAATAAAAAAATAAAGTCAGCTGATCCGTTTGAAGGTTGAAGGTGTATGATTCTAGTCGGCCTCCTACTTCTTTCCTTTCATGAGCACTGTAGTCTATTGTGCTATCATGAGAAAATCTCCAACCTATCTTCTTAGACTGGGTGGTGGTTCCATATGGCATTTTCTTTTCCCTTCATTGTTATTACCGCAGTGACCAGGGGTCATATGTACACCCAGGTGCTCTGTTCTTTAGTGTTCTCTGGGAGTCAAATTTCTTTTGTTGTCTCACACTGAGGTATTCACATACCACGTGCTTGTCAGGGATTGTACTTTTTGGCTCATTTTTTTTTTTTTTGGTTCATTTTTAAGATGGTAGGTTTGAGATTTAAAAATTTTAAATGAGGGAAGGGGTTGGGTCATCACACCCAATGGTTCTAAGGACTTAATTCACGGCAGAGCCTGGCAAGCTCCCCGTGACGTATATTTGATATGCCGGACACAGTAACAACAAGTCTCATGATGGAGACGTTACTGGGCCCGCTCGAGCAAATCGATGAACAACGGGAGGGCCTTTACCTTTACCTTTACCTTACACTTGGGAATCATTTCGGGTGAGGCTTGGAGGACCATATGGGTACCATGAGTTGAAGCTCAGTTACTAGTATGCAAGGGAAACATCCTACCTATTTGTTAATGCTTCAGCCCAAAGCTACTTTATGTGTGTGTGCTTAGGACTTACTACTGGCCTCTGTGCTCAGGGATCACTCCTGGCAGGCTGTGGGGACTGTGTAGGCTGCCAAGGATCAAACACAAACTGGCTGCATGCAAGACAAGCACCTTACCCACCGTACTGCCGCTCTATCCCCAAATTAAGAAATATCATTTCCCACCTCTCCCTCTCCCTTTGTTGTTGATGTGTTCACCAAGGACTACACACTTGGCTGTCAGGCTTTCATGCCCAATGGCTTCATTAGAGTGCTTGCAGGCAAGTGCACACCAGGCTTGACACTGCCAATGTACTCCCCAAGCGTGGCACTTCTTTAGTTGGGCTGCTTGCATACGTTCTGGTTGCAGTGATTGTTAAGGGTTACTGTGGTGTTCATACAGGTGTTTACCAGGCATTGTGCTTCCTGGGCCATGGTCCTTGCATATGTTTTAGTTGGGGTGCTTAACAGGGGTTGCATGAGGTGCTCAGATCCTCTGCTTGAAGTATGGCTGGAAATTGCTTGTGGCACTGGAGATCACAGACAGCAGAGCTGCCAAATTCGAGCAGCACTGCAGCCAGGATCTAGCTTGGTGTATGTGGTGGTGCCCGGGTGGTGACCTTGTGATGCAAATGATCAAGCCACTGAGCTCCGCCCAGGTCACATTACTTCTTTTTATTAATACGGAGTTCTTGACTGTTTATAGAAAGGATTTTCAGTATAAGAATTATTAAAGCCTTATACTAGATTTATGAAAAATTTATAATATGCTCATAAACTAAAAATTGTTTTCCTTTTAATTACAGAAAACTTAAGGATATTGTCTTTAGGAAGAAACAACATAAAGAATTTAAATGGACTGGTAGGTTACTTATTACTTAAAATACCTTTTCTTAATCTGCAAATAATACTTATTTGTTACAGAAGGTTTATGAACTAGAAAAGCAAGTATAAAAAGCACAGATAAATCACTGAAAATTTAGTGCTAATATTTTGGATGACATCTTTTTTGTAACCTTTTGTTCTACCCTTCAGTGAGTATGGAAGATTAAATCATGAAATAAATATTTTTACTTTTTTTACTCAATATGTAAATATAATTTTTCCATATAATTTAGTGAGTCAACAAATTCAATGTATTTATTGAATATCTGTTTTATTTTTTTATTTCTGAGCACACCCGGCTGTGTTCAGGGCATATTCCTGGCTCATTACTCAGGGATCACTTCCAACAGGGCAGGGGAGACCATACAGGGTGCTGGGCATTCAACCCAACTTGCCTGTGTGCAAGGCAAGTACCCTACCCTCAATATTACCTCACCAGGTTTGAAGGTGTGCTTAAAAAGCCAGATTCAATTCTAGACATTAGAGATAATAGCAGTACAGAAAACTTGCTCTCACAGAACTTGCATTATTATGAATGAAGATAAACCAGAAAGTAACTGTGTATCAGGTGTTGATTAATACAATGAGGAAAAAGCAAGGTATATATCAGAACAAGGGCTGTAGCAATAGCACAGCAGGTAGGGCGTTTGCCTTGCATGTGGCCGACCTGGGTTTGATTCCTCCGTTCCTCTCAGAGAGCCAGGCAAACTACCAAGAGTATTCTGCCTGCATGGCAGAGCCTGGCAAACTCCCTGTGGTGTATTCAATATGCCAGAAACAGTAACAAGTCTCACAATGGAGATGTTACTGGTTCCCGCTCAAGCAAATCGATGAACTATGAGAAGGACAGTGCTACCATGCATATCAGAAAAAAGATCAGTGTTTTCCCCTCTGGGAGTGAGGATGGAGGCCTTATGGATCTGACCAGTGCTGCAAAGGCAAATGTCCCAAATCACAAGCTACTTGCTATGCTTCAGTGAAAAGCAAAAGGGAGGGATAATGGCCCTTAGTGAGATTTGTTAAGGGCCGTTAGTGAGATTTGTTTGTTTCACATTGGGACCATTCCAAGCAGTGCTCAGGGCTTACTCCTGGCTCTATACTCAGGGACCACTCCTGGCGGTACTCAAGGGACCATATGTGGTGTCAGGGATTGGACTGAGGTCAGCCACATGCAAGATAGTGCCTTTTCCACTGCAATATCACTCCAGTCCCCTATCAAGTTATTTTTGAGTCATGATAAGATTTTAATTTAGGGTTTTTTCCCCCCTAGTATTCTGAAAGTCATTGGAAATTTTCTATCGGAGAATGTAACTGAAGTTGGGTTATTTTTTTTTCATGGGATTTTGAACTACTTCCAGCTCTGTACTCATGGGGTCACTCTGGGTGGGTTGGGAATAAGGGAATCATGTGGTGCTGGAGATCAAACTGGACTATGTCACATGTAAAACAAGTGTCTTAACCCTTTCATCAATTCTTTGGCCCTATGACTTAAGTTTTAAAAATAATTTTCAATGGGCTATATAGATAATATATCAGGTAGGGTCCTTGTCTTGCCTTGCCTTGCCTGCTGCCTGTCCAGGTTCAATCCCCGGCATCCCCTATGGTTCTCCAAGCTCTCTTGAGTGATCTCTTGAATGCAGAACCAGAGGGGGTAAGTCCTGAGCACAGCTGGGTCTGATCAAAAAAAAAAACAGAACAAAACTTTCTCTTGATCTTAGCCAGCAGGCTGAGAAGCGATATAAACAAAACTTTTAGTCATAACCTTTTTAATGATAGCATCTATCTTAATCAAAATACTATAATTTATTCAAATAAGTTATTTATTTCCAGTTTGGAGTTCATATTATCACTGTTATGAATCTTCTTTTAGCTACATTATTGCATACATCTATGAATAATAGCACTGTAGCACTGTCCTCCCGTTGTTCATCAATTTGCTTGAGTGGGCACCAGTAATATCTCCATTGTGAGACTTGCTGTTACTGAGACTTGTTGTTTTTGGCAATCGAATACGACATGGGGGAGCTTGCCAGGCTCTGTCGTGCAGGCAGGATCCTCTCATTAGCTTGCCAGGCTCTCCAAGGGGGTCGGAGGAATCGAACCCGCATCGGCCATGTGCAAGGCAAACACCCTACCCACTGTACTGTTGCTCCAGCCCAATTTCAAACTATTCACTGTCACTGTCAATGTCCCCCCGTTGTTCATCGATTCGCTCGAGCGGGCCCAGTAACGTCTCCATTGGAGACTTTATTGTTACTGTGTTTGGCATATCGAATACATCACGGGGAGCTTGCCAGGCTCTGCCGTGCGGGCGAGTTACTCTCGGTAGCTTGCCGGGCTCTCTGAGAGGGGCGGAGGAATCAAACTCGGGTCGGCCATGTTGGCTGCGTGCAAGGCAAACGTCCTACCGCTGTGCTATCGCTCCAGCCCCAAACTATTGTTAAAAAATTATTTTAATAATACATTAACTTTTTTTTTCCTGCGCGGGGGTTATACCTGTCAGTACTCAGAGCTTACTCCTGGCTCTGTGTTCAGGGATCACTCCTGGAAGGGATCAGGGACCCAAATGTGGTGCCACGGACTGAACCAGGGCTGGCCACATGCAAGGCAAGAGTCTTAACCCTTTTACTATCTCAACAGCACCAAGACATTCATTTTTAAAACTTTTCAAAAACATGTCTCACTATGAATAATACCTTGGATAAATTCCTTGAAATGAAATTGCTGGATCCAAACTGTGAATTTTTTTTAAAAGACTTTTGTGATATATTATACAGCACTTGAATCTTCAAGAATTCGGTAACAATTATTACCCCCACCAATAATTAGGGTTCTCATTTTCCCAAATTAGACATTAAAAACTTATGTTTTTTACAATATTTTTTGCAATTTCAATTTCCTTAATATGTGTGTGTATGTGTATGCACATATATGTAGAAAATTGTGTTGTTTGGAATGACTTTAACTCCTCTTGAAAAGTACTTTAAGATTTTAGTATTATTTTTATAGCAGCTGTTTCATCTCAGCTGTAGGATTTGTCCATCTTTGTAGAATTTGTTTCATGTTTCAAATTTTAGACATTGATTACTTCTCAAAGGAATAAAGCACACAAAAACACTAATCTAATTGAACTGATTAATGAGCCCCATATTTTGGAAAGTACAAAAGATTGTAGAATGGATGAAAGAAAATGTATTAAAGGACAGAATTATGTCCTAAACAAAAATTATGTTTGTAAGTAATGTGCATTGAATTCTCAATCCCCGAAGTCATACTCCCAAGTAAACTTCCCAAATATTCTGAAATTTGATCATGGCGAAACAGCTGCATGCAAATGGCTGAAACTTGCATTAAAATGCTTCAAAGGAGTGAACAAAGCATTGCAGACACCTTCAAAAGCTATTTCATCTAAATGAGTCTTTAGACTAGCATGTAGCTCTATGAAATGAATTGCTATCATTTGTAAGTAGTTAAACCATTACTCAATAAATAGGTATAAGAGTATATCCAGCACATTGGCTATTTGGTGGATTTATCATCTTGGCTATATTAAGGTTGACTAAAAGAGCTCTCAACTGCTTATATGAAGCAAGCCAGAATTGAACATAAATCTTTTCATCGGTATTTTTTCCTGCAACTTTACACTTTCTAAATTAGAGGCAGTGTAGTGCAATGAAAATATATGCTAAAGTTTAAATTATCTGAAGATTTATTCCCCTTTTCTGAAAGATGCAGATGATACACTAATTAGATCCTTTGATAAAGATTAGAACATGAGCTGCACGTTAGAAACGGTTTTGTAAAATCAGAGTTCTAATCTCGTGGGCCAGGATCAACTGATTTAAGTTTTTTTCTATTTAGAAAGTATTTATTTTGGGGCTGGAGCAATAGCACAGTGGGTAGGGCGTTTGCCTTGCACGCAACCGACCTGGGTTCGATTCCCAGCATCCCATATGGTCCCCTGAGCACTGCCAGGAGTAACTTCTGAGTGCATGAGTGCAGAGCTGCAGAGCCAGGAGTAACCCCTGTGCAACGCCAGGTGTGACCCAAAAAGCAAAAAAAAAAAAAAAAAAAAGTATTTTATTCAGAAGATTGCAACTAGGGCCCGAACAATAGCATAGCAGCTTGGTGCTTGCCTCGCACATGGGGTTCTATCTCTGGCATTGCGTATCCTGAACCCCATCAGGAGTGATTTCTGAGTGCAGAGCTAGGAGTAAGCTCTGAGTGCAGCCCCAAAAAAACAAAAAAGAAAGTTCTAATGAGAATGAATTATCGGAGCTGGAATAACACACAGAACTCGCCCAGGTTACTATTTCTTCTAATTTTCCTCTGGTTCTACCAGAATGGAAAATGCATTAAGGGTCTTTATCCATGGTATGTTTTTCTTTCGAGCAAGACAAAGACATATGTTTTAGAGATTTTTAGAGATATTTTAGAGATTACATATTTTTGAGTTTACACCGTAGATATGGGTAAGTTGTTTTGGGCTAAGAAGTTATTAAGCATGTTATTGATCCTGTCTAATATTTTATCATTTTAAGTAAGTAACTACTTTTTTCTTATATCTGTATAAGAAGGGAAAAAGTCTTTCTTCCTCCATTGATTATATCTAGTGTTTAAATCAATATGGTAGGATATTTGTACCATCAGAGTACAAATATCCTACTCTGATGGAAAGACTGTGGTTTAGAACTGAGTTTTACAGCCCAGAAAACGAAATACATTGGTGGGTATATCAGCAGATGTGATAGGAAAATGTTAAAGGTAGAATTATATGGGAAGGCATATGGAAAATTTCTGTAAAATTGTCAAATTGTCATTGTTTAAAGGTTTTTCCTGGCAGTGTGCGGCTGCTTTTGAGGCTGCGCAATCTCTCATGATATTCATGATAAGCAATAGAAAATAAGTTATCTAGCATCTGCCTGTGGCAGGCAAGCTTGAATGGTGGTAGGAAAATTTGATATAATGGTGGAGGGAAGTTGTAATGGTGGTGGGATTGGTGTTGAAATATTGAATGTAATCAACTAATGTGAACAACCGTATGAAAATAAAATTTAAAAATTAAAAAAAAATTATTTTCCTGTGGCCAGAGGAATAGTACAGCAGGTAGGATATTTCCTTGCACTTAGCCGACCCAGCTTTGATCCCTGGCACAGCACATATGGTTCCTCATATGGTCCCTCCATGCACAGCCAGGAATAATTCCTGAGTGCAGAACCAGGAGTAACCCCTGAGCATCTTCGAGTGTGACCCAAAAAGCCAGAAAAAGAATTTCCTGATAAGTATGGTGTGTTGAGAAGATGGTAAGGAACCTAAAGTAAAGTAAAGGCCCTCCCGTTGATCATCGATTTGCTTGAGCGGGCCCAGTAATGTCTCCACTGGAGACTTTGTTGTTACTGTGTCTGGCATATCGAATACGTCACGGGGAGCTTGCCAGGCTCTGCCGTGCGGGTGAGATACTCTCGGGAGCTTGCCGGGCTCTCCGAGAGGGGCGGAGGAATCGAACTCGGGTCGGCCATGTTGGCTGCGTGCAAGGCAAACGCCCTACCGCTACCACCCTGAATGCGCCTTGGTAAGGAACCTGTGATTAAAAAATTACTACTGTTTAAATATTGTATGTACATGGTGGGGGGGTGGGGGGGACGGACCTAGGAGGGCGTCCACACCCGTCTGTGCTCAGAGCTTACTCTGGGTCCTGTGTTCATGGATCACTCCTGGTGGGCTCAGAGAGCTAGATGAGGTGTCATGTTCGAGCAAGGCAGGTGCCTTACCTGCTCTCCTGTCATTCCAGTCCCAGAGCCCTAAGATTTAGACTTAGAACTAAGTCTGCGTTAATATTATTGCAATCTTAAGAGGAAAATTCTTCAGTCTCTCCACAATAGAAGTCAAATAAATAACCTTGTCTACTTTAAAGTTGTAAGGATCAAATAATATAATGTGTAGCAAAACATTGCAATAAGTGATAAATTAGTGCTATTATTTCCCCTTCTTGGTGATTTCAATATCTTCTTAGTTCAGATCAGTTTGAAGAGAGGATGAGAATCTCCTACTTGATTTTCTTAATGAGGGAAAACTCCTGCAACAGCCTTCAGCTCTCCTGACAGTGGACAGGCTGGTCTCAGTTCTTTTCAAAGGCAATTGTCTTTATGTTTATAAGGAAGTGGGGGGCTAAAGGAAAAGCTTAAATAGATGTGTAAATCCAGTTTTCTTTTTCAGGAAGCAGTAGGAGATACTTTGGAAGAACTGTGGATCTCCTACAATTTCATTGAGAAGTTGAAAGGGATCCATGTAATGAAGAAACTGAAGATTCTGTACATGTCTAATAACCTGGTGAAAGAATGGGGTAAGCTGAGGCTAGTCTTTACAACCCACTACCTCCAGCTTACAGTATAGCCCAGAGGGGAACCAGATGTATGCGGGGTTCTTCCTTTCTAAGACCAAACAGAAACAGAGTTGATTATTTAAGCACCTGGCTGCTGTACTATCTATGCAGCCCATTGAAAATATCAGAGTTGCTCTTGATTTTAGCTAAATGCTTAAAATTTATGTTTAAATATTTTCTCAGAATGATTGTTATTGCTCGAGCGGGCCCAGTAACGTCTCCATTGGAGACTTTGTTGTTACTGTGTCTGGCATATCGAATACTCTCGGTAGCTTGCCGGGCTCTCCGAGAGGGGCGGAGGAATCGAACTCGGGTCGGCCATGTTGGCCGCTTGTAAGGCGAACGCCCTACTGCTGTGCTATCGCTCCAGCCTGAATCTGGTAATTATGAATGAAGTTACTATCCACAGGCTGAAAGGAATAATTTTGAATTTATCAATTTTTTGGTTTTGGTGCCTGAGATCAAACCCAGGGTCTCCACTTCTCCTGTGTGTGAGTCCTGCACTCTACCACTAAGTCACCTCCCGGGGCCAGGAAGATGGCCCAGAAGACTAGTGAGCCTAGCACTGAATGCATGAGGCCAAGGTTTGGTCCCTGGCCTGGGGCTGCCCCTGAGTACTCAGCTGGGAATATCCAGATGTCAGGGGGCAGGAGCCTAAAAAATACTCAACTGCTTTCCCAGCCCAAATTCAGTTGTGCTTGGCTGGTTGACTTATTTGACATCTAACTGCTTTATTTATTTATTTATTTATATATGTATTTGCTTTTTGGGTCACACCCGGCAATGCACAGGGGTTACTCCTGGCTCTGTACTCAGAAATTACTCCTGGCAGTGCTCAGGGGACCATATGGGATGCTGGGAATCGAACCCGGTCGGCCACATGCAAGGCAAACATCCTACCCGCTGTGCTATCGCTCCAACCCCTACACTGCTTTTTTTAAAAAAATAAATTGTTTGTTGGGACTGGAGTGATAGCAGAGTAGGTAAGGCATTTGCCTTGCACACGGCTGATCCCCGGCCTATACACTGCCATGAGTAAATCCTGAGTGCAAAGCCAGGAGTAACCCCTGAGCACTGTTGGGTGTGACCAAAAAAGTAATATATATATATATATATTTGTGTGTGTGTGTGTGTGTGTGTGTGTGTGTGTGTAGTTTACTATGAATGATACCCAGCTCTTGAGATACATAGTTGAGTTGGATGCTGTTCCTGCCCTCAGGAAGTCCACAACTTAGTGGGGAACTTATTTTATAAGCTAATAATTATAAAACTGTGTGCTGAGTTCTATAATAAAGACTTGGAAATGATGCAGCGTAGGGAAAACTGTCACTGGACACTGATTGTTCTTTTTGATTCTGAAATCATTTCCTCTTCTTATCCTGTCCTTAGGCTAGCATGAAGGTAGAAGAGGTATGTCTTCTTTTTCCCTCTCTTTCCATATCTTCAGAAAATGACTTCATAAGGTGTAACTTCCCTTCCTTCAAAATCTTAAACGACTAATTATCCTAATGAATCACAAACTGAGGGCAAGTGATATTGGAATTTGGCCCCAAAAATTAAAATAGAACTTGATTTTTAATATGGAATATATCCTTTGTACTTGTAGCGGAATTTGTGAAGCTAGCTGAGTTGCCATCCTTGGAAGATCTCGTGTTTGTAGGCAATCCCTTGGAAGAGAAACATTCTGCTGAGGGCAACTGGATTGAAGAGGCCTCTAAGAGAGTGCCCAGACTGAAAAAGCTAGATGGTGAGTGACTCTGAGCCAGCTGGGGAAGCTCCCCTCCCTCAAGGACCAGATCTGTCACATGGAATCCTGGGAAGGGACAGAGCTAAAGAAAGGGATACATTGTTTCTAATTTCCAAAGCTTTTTTGTCCACAGGAAATTTAATGGTCCAGCTTTGGACTAGGGTGAGATGAATGCCTAGTATATTTAGACTAATGTGAAGTCATCTCTAGACCAAATCTTAGGAAAAGAATGATGGGTTTGCGATCAGGTCACAAGGATATTATTTTGCAGAACAGTTAGCTATAAATCCTAAGTGTTGCTTTTCTACAGTTGGATGTAACTGTGGTCTTTAACCCCGTGTCCTCCTACCCCCTCCACCACCACCTCCCCCCCACCCTGGCTTCTTGATCTCTAAAATAGCTGTCAGTGTCAGTTATAACCTTAACCTTGTCTGACTGGATTTAAATCCCTCTTCCAACACTTATAGTAGGTTTATCATTAGCACTGCACTGTAGCACTGTCCTCCCGTTGTACATCGATTTGCTTGAGTAGGCACCAGTAACGTCTCACAACAAATTGTGAGACTTGTTGTTACTGTTTTTGGCATATCGAATACGTCATGGGTAGCTTGCCAGGCTTTGCCATGTGGGCGAGATACCCTTAATAGCTTGCTGGGCTCTCTGAGAGGGGTGGAGGAATCGAACCTGGGTCAGCCATGTCGGCCACATGCAAGGCAAATGCCGTACCCGCTGTGCTATCGCTCCAGCCCATGTTTATTATTATATTAGTTAATTTTACCAAACCGTATTCTTCTATAATTTAATGAAATGATGGTCCGTCCGGGCCTCTCTGGACTCACCCCCTCACTGTGGTGCCCTCCCGAGGAGGGAGCCCTGCTGTTGTGCCTGCTGTACCAGAAGCTCCCGCAGACTCTCTGCTGTCACTCTCTGCGCCCTCACTGCCTTATTCTGCATTTTCTCATAAACCCTGTCTTCTTAATGATTTCACAGTATGGTCTGCTTTCCGCACTGTCCTTTAAGCATTGATTGTAATCTTTTAGTTTACCTGATTAAAATGGGGTTGAGAGAGATATTTTTGTGGGGAGCGCACCTCTAGGGTTGCTCAGGATTTATTCCTGGCTCTGCACTCAGATCACTCCTGGCAGGCCCAGGGGACCATATGGGATGCCACGGTTGGAACCCTGATCAGCTCTGTGCAAAGCAAGCACTCTACCCACTACTATCACCCCAACCCCAAAGGAAAACGTTATAAAGAAACGAATCAGTAGCATCTAGCTTTATGAGAATACTCATCACTGTCACCAACAGCAACATCATACCGTATGCCATGCATACATTTTCCTTTTCTTCATTACCATACTCATGCTGATCATCACATCCCAAACAAAAGGACCTTGCCTGTAGTTGAGACTTGTCCTTCAACACTACTCTGCCTTTTTTACCTTTTGTGATGCCCGTGTCCTTTCTGTTTGGGGTCTCTGTTAAGTCTATGCTTAAGTTTTGCAGGTGACTCTGATATGCCTCCCTGAAGAGATGTGTTCACTTGTTCTCCAGTTGAGAATTACTGCTGTCAAAGATCTTTAGTGGTTCGTTTCCTATCCCCAACTATTTGTTTAAGAGCTTGATGAGGTGTAATTGACTTACAGTTAGCTGTACATATGAAAGAGTGCACATATTTTATAAAGTGTTTGATTTGACATATTCAACAAATCTATGTTCCTGTGAAACCATCACCACAATCAAGGTAAGAACATAGATGATTGTGACGAGTTACAAGTAGTGTATACTTGAAATTTGTTGAGAGAGTAGGGAGTAGACCTTACAAATACTCAGCACACACACACAAAGAAAGATTACCATTTGAGATGATGTGAGTTCACAAAGGAAAATGTGGGTTTTCTGCTGCTACAATGCGATGATGCCACGTGTCCATTCGCCTCTCTGGTGGCCTCCCCACCTCCCTACCTCTCCAGGCCTCCCCAGCAGATAGACAGAGATAGGGAGATAGTGGGGGGGTGGGGGGGGGGCGGGGGCACAGCCTGATGGTGAAAATGGCCTGTTTAATGCAGAGCTGCTAGCATACTGATAGAACATCTGAGGGGGCTTGAGGTAAGGATATACATGTGATTGATTGATCATTTACATAGATAAACATTTGGCAGGGGAAATTCTCTTGGGGAGATTAACTCAAGGAGACACTCTGTCTCCCAGGGACATCTACATTGCTTTTATCTTTCCCCCTAGTTGTTATCAATACTTGCAGTTGTTTGGATAAACACAGTAAGAGACAAGGATCCCAAAACTTAGTTCTCTGGGCTCTGAGAGCTAGCAAGGTTTTTACCGTAAATCCCAGACTAAGTCTTCAGGCCTGTTCAGCTTGTCCTTCCCCATGGGATTCTGTCTGTAAATCATAACAGCTTGCATCAAGACCATGCATTTATGCTTTCTAGAATGTCCCATTTCAGTGCCGGGGTAGCTATGCCACTCGCCCCAGACCCATCCCAGACCCACGGTGAGACCTCCCTTTTAGGGTGTTAGGAACTGAAGCCTGCGTCAAGTAATTATGACCAAATAATTATGCGCAGGAGTAGATATATTTCAGAGTCAATCAACTCTCAAATGTTAGGAGCACAGTATTAATGGTCTTTCTTTGTTTAACCGAAGAACATTGCTCTATAGTAAAATATATAAAGGCTATAGGGGAAATAGAAAAGCAGGTACAAATACACGGCACTTCAAATAACAAAGCAGTATAAATACAAAGTTCACAATTACCAGAACGTTTTGGCTTATAAGTAATCAAAACTGACTTGGGAAACTGAGACAATGAGAGGTAAGATACAAAGGAAAGGTTAAAGATAAACTTTAACTAAATTAGGGATGCTAGCAAGAGCACAATAAGCTTCTCTGGAAGGAGGAAAAGGGGCAGTTCACTGATGAAGTCTAAAACACTTATGGTTAATATCCAACAGCAGAAATCATTTCACAACATATAAATATATCAAATATGGTTTATTCCTCAAACGAACACAGTTTTCCATGTTATTATGGTCCCCCCAGAGCTTCGTGGGGCACAGTGAACTTATATAACACTCCCAAAAGTCCTTCTATGGCTTTGTAGACCTTCCCTCCTCCTCCTTGTTACTGTCGCTTTCAAAATAACCATTTACTTTTGGACTCTGTTGATTAGTTTGTATTTCCTATGAATTTCCTATGAAGTACTGTAGAAAGGTACTTTCTTCTCTGGTTACATACCTAGAGGTGAAATGACAAAGATAGTGTAGGAAGGACAAAATAATCAAGAGGAAATAAATAGGCTTCTAAGATACTGGTAACATTCTTTTTCCTAAGTTAGGTGGACAGCATACTATCTCTAGTTTTATTGTAAATCATATTTTTACAAATAAATAGTAATTAAGATAGAAAAAAAAGGGTGGAAACATTATAACATCTTGAACTTAATTTTTTTATGTTCTTCTTTGGTTGGACTCTAGAAACTACTAAATCGTTTGTTTTACTTGCTTCCAAATTACACAAAGGCCAGAGCTCCTTTTCTTTAGAATGGAAGGGAGGCAGGGCAGAGCAGTATTACAGTGGGTAACTTGCCTTGCACACAGCTGACCTGGGTTCAATCCCGACATCCTGTATGGTCCCCCAACCACTGCCAGGAATAATTCCTGACTAGAGTGATCCCTGAACATCACCAGGTCTGGCCCCCCAACAAAACAAACAATAGAAATTATAAACCAAATGCTAATTTAGGAAGGTTCATCTCTGGAGTTAGTTCTTAGTTAAGAGTAGGAAAGTGAATTGTGAAGGGCATTCCAGACTGGAAAACTATGCTATCGAGATTCATGTGTAAGGTGTGTTTGGGAGACAGAAAAACTAACCAAAAGGTGAAGAATGAATAGTTGGAGGTTGGAGAGATACCACGTAATCCTTCCAGCATTGCTAATTGAGACCCTAGAGGTCCCTGAGCACCACTGAGGGTGCCATCACCAAATAATAGTGATATTATGCCATATCACTAGGTCCTTGCATTGAACCATTTAGTCCAGTTGGTTGAGTATCACCAGCTGTGATTCCGGGATCCCTTGAACACTGCTTGAGAATCCTCCTCTGCCACCAAAAAAGGTTGGAGGGGATCAGATTATGGACAGGTTCAAGTGCCAGGGCTCGGGAATGGCCAGCCCGTGGCCTAGTCAGAGCTTATTGATTTTGTCTGTTCAATATTTATTAGTGTTAACATAAAGATTCAGATTTCTAGCAACACTGGGATTGCATATTATGAAAAATGAAGAATTTTTTTTTGTTTTTAACACAGAACAAATTTCTGATGTATAATGGACCCTTACTGATTTTTCTGCCTGATACCCTGGGCATTTTTATTTGAAGTTCTTTTACAAGCTGAGTATCAGTTTTTATACTGATCCACTTGAGAATTCTTCTGAGAGAGCTTTTTTTTTTTTATTAGTGAAACACCATGAGGTACAGTTATAGGCTTACAAATTTTGTGCTTGGGTTTCAGTTATACAATGATCAAGTGCCCATCCCTCCACCAGTGCCCGTCATCCATCACCACGGGTCCCAGCATCCCACCCCCCCCACCCCCCCCACCCCCGTCCCATCCTGCCTCTGTGGCAGGGTATTCCCCCTTGTTCTCTCTCTCTCCTTTTGGGTACTGTGTTCTGAGAGAGCTTTTGAAAGTAAAAGTAGTGTTATATTGGAATGCGTACACCGTGTATGGTGTTTGCCTTGCACATCGCCAACCCGGGGCCAGTCCCCGGCATCCCATTTGGGATGAGCATCACCAGGAGTAGGTCCTGAGTACAGAGCCAGGTGTAAGCTCTGAGCCTTGCTGGGTGTAGCCAAACAACAACAACAAAACCCCAAAACCTAAAACCCCAAATTAAATTAAAAATACAAAAAAAATAGTGTTTTATGGAACTCTATTATGGTACACACTATACTGCTTTTTAGTGCTTCTTGGGTTAATGAGAAACTTTTTTTTTTCACTTAGATTTTTAAAATATTGAGAATGACCAGAATTTCTTTTTTTATTTTAGGTACTCCAGTAATTAAGGAGGAGGAGGAGGAAGAAAACTAACACCATATTTTACACTTTGTGTTAACTTATTTAAATGTTATACGAACAATAGATAAGTTTTTATATTATTGTTTATTTCAAAGATAACTGTGTGGGGCAGACAGTCCTTCTCATATCTTCCGTTCCACTTTTCCCTCTGGCTTTCTCATATTCTTAGCCTTAGTGATTCTCCTCCAAAATGATGGCACCAATTTTATATATTCTAGTCCTCTTTTTAGAAACTTCAAATTTTAAATTGTTATCGTTAGTCCCAGTTATGTGCAGTATGATCCCTATCTACTGAAACCCTATCTAGATGTATTAACAACAAAGGAACAAGTGTGGTTCTTTGTTCAGTTTGTATAGTTTCTGTAGGCCAGGCATTTAAGAATACTTACAGTTGAATCTACAGAGCATCTTACTGGAGGTTCATACCTTTATGACTCAGAAGCACAAATGGGTCCTGCCTTTGGCTCCAGAGACAACATGATGGCAGGAAGAATTCCTCTGTAGCAGCAGCCCAGAACATGACTCCAAAATCCAATTGGAAATGATCACTGTCACTGTCACTGTCCTCCCATTGTTCATCGATTTGCTCGAGCGGGCCCAGTAACATTGTGAGACTTGTTACTGTGTTTGGCATATCGGATACGCCACGGGTAGCTTGCCAGGCTTTGCCATGCAGGCGAGATACTCTCGGTAGCTTGCCAGGCTCTCCTAGAGGAGCGGAGGAATCGAACTTGGGTCGACCATGTTGGCTGCATTCAAGGCAAATGCCCTACCTGCTGTGCTATCGCTCCAGCCCAATTGGAAATGATACGGTGAAAAAAAGAAAATCGGTATCTTGGGGGTCTTATAGCCTGTTATATTTTTGTATTTGTTTTTTTTTTAAATGTGTGCATCATCAGCTGGAATTTAAGTCGTGTTCGCATGCACAGCCGCTTGAGTCATCATGTCAGTCAGTCATTCTGTGACCCAGGTCAGTGGTTAAAATGACTTATCACAATCATCCCTATAACAGATACAGTTGTCATGTTACATCCGTGGACCTGACTGAATCTTAGGCACACATTCTATTTTATAATTCTTTATATGTTAAATGAGGAGTTATATAAGCAGTAGTTAAATTTGAATGCCTAATCTAAATGTGGATCTTTCATTTATGTCAAAATTCATCTCTGTAACTGTGGTCTGTTGATACTCATATTGGAAGAAGTGATTTTCTTAAAATAAGGGTATAGACTTTAGCAGCCAAGGGGCTTGGAGAGATAGTACAAGGGGTTAAGATGTTTACTTTGCATGTTGACCCCAGTTCAGTTCCTGGCAATGCACCGGATATGGCTGAGGAGTAGCTCCTGAACACCACTAGGTGTGGCCCAAGCCCCCATAATATGTAGTATAGAATTAAGCAACTAGATTTGGTACCTTTTGACAAATAAATTTTAGTGTTTCAGAAAATATTTTTAGAGAAGTTCTAAGATAGTCTTTAAATTGAATTTTGTAAGTGGTTATTGAGGGGAAAGAGATGTATCATTTTGGAATGCCAGACAAATGGCAGTTTGTGAAGAATGCCTCTTCTGTGAAGCTTTGTGGGTCACTTAACCTAAAAATTGCAAAGATATGGAGACAGCGCTCAAGTGTTTAAGCATATGCCTAGCTAGAGCGAGGCCTGGAGTTCAAACCCCACTACCAGGGGAAAAGAAAATTGCAAAGAAGTAGTTCAATGCAGAGTTTAGAATTTATCATAGAAGAAAAAAAAATTCTGGAAACTGCAAGATAAGGTTGTCGGTAACCAGATGATGTTTCTAGTGCCATGATGAAAGCACTGCTTGTGGAAAAGAAGTTACAGGTTCTTGCTAAATTGTGCCTAGTTCCTCAGCCAGAGACTGTTGATTCCTATATTCTCCATTTACTTGTATAAAATTGGGATTGGGGAGACCAATTTTAAAAGTGATCTCTTAGATAGTCCTGAGTTTCAAAAGTGTTCAGCTATCATTTGAATAGGAATTACATGTTTTCTGTAAGTCACTTTGATCAAAAGGGACCACTGCTTTGACAATCAATTCTAAACATAAACAAGAAGGAAATATTAGTCCAACACTTTTCCATCTTTTAGTTCTTGTTATTTGGTTGGAAGAAATCTATTCTGACTTGTACATTTAAAACCTTTGGGCATTTCTTTTGTGAACTCGAGGCAACGTGCCTCCATTCCCTTGGTGGTGTTTCAGGCCCACACGCTCTGGAGGGATGGTGATCTTCTCTCCTGCTAGTGGGCACTTCCTCTGGTAGGCAGGCTGGAAGCAATATTGCTTTGTAAGAATAGATGTATTTCCTAAAACTTACCACAGAGGCGAATATAAGAGAGATGGGAGAGCTTCGTATTGAATTTATATGTAAGATGGCTTTTAGTATTGGTGTTTGGTTTTTTATGAAGTATGTAATGTAGAAACTAATTTTCTGTTTCTCCTCATTTCCTAATCACTGGTAGTTCTCAAAGAACAGTAAGGTGCTTTTCTGTAACCATGTAATAGAAAATTAATATTGTATCCTGTTCAACAAATACTGGGGATCACTTCTATATCCTTTTTTACAGAATTAAAATCACAGTCCATATATTTGGAAGTAGGAGATAGAGTATATAAAGGTGCTGGAGTGATAGTACAGAGTATGGAACTTGCCTTGCACATGTCCGACCTGAATTCAGTTCCTGGCACCCAGTATTGTTCCCCAAGCCCCACCAGGAGTGATCCCTGAGCGAGGAGTAAGCCCTGAGCACTGGATTTTTTTTTTCCACAGTAAATTGGATTTTTAATCTGTTAAGGAATTCAGTTTCTCCAAGTTCCCTTATTTTATGTACGAGCTGGCCAGGACTTAGATGGTTTTTATATTATCTGTGTTCTCTATGTTTAATAGAGTAAGCCTCTTTAAACTAGTTTCTCAACTTTTGGCTGGCTTATGCATTGTTGTGAGGGGCAGTCCTGTATATTATAGGATGTTTAGCATATCTCTGACTTCTAGAAGCTAAATGCCCAGAACCTTCTGTTCAGTTGTTACAGCCAGTGGTAGTACAGCAGATAAGGTATTTGCCTTACACAGGACCAATTGGGTTCAATTCCCAATACCCGCTATGGTCCCTGAACGGGCCAAGAGTGAGCCCAAAGCCAGGAATAAGCTCTAGAGCTCTGCCAGCTATTAAACAAAAACAAACAAAAAAACAGTTTTTACAACCAAAAATGTCTTCAGACATGGTGACCCTCAGCCTGGGACAGAGAGGCGGGGTCAGTTTCACCCCTGGTAAGGACCAGTACTGTATACCAACATTCCTTTTGTCTAGGGCAAGTTTCCTTTGCTGTAGCTTTATGTCACATGAGTTTTTATATGAATGGTGATAATATTTAATAATCATGGATGGAAGGAAATGGCCACTGGTATTTTTTCCCTTTTTTGGTAAAGTTCATTTTATAATTTTCACTTAACATTAGAAACTCAAGACTGGAAGGTTCAGCTTTTTTTTTTTCACCAGTGTCTCAGCTGTTATTTCTTAGTTTTTTTTTTTTTAAATCTTAGGACAGTGATTATTAACCTACCTCTCTCATTATCAGTATAGTCTAACTTTATGGCAGATTTTGCTTTGTCTCTAAAAATTAGCATTTTGAGTATACTCAAAATGGATTACCATTCTTTAAATGTTTGTCCATTGTCCAATAATGCAAGCCAAGTCAGTCATTACAGAAAAATCTTGTATGAATTTTGGAAGCCATCTAAGTAACTTAGCTAGTATAGACGCTGGTTTTGGATGTGATCTGAGGAATGTGTGGTTATAAGTCAGTAGTCTGGTACAGTTGCTAGATCCATTTTACAAAGATGAATAAAAACCTGGAAGTGGTATAAGAACTTATGTAAATGGATTTCTTATGTGAAAGAGAGACTTTGACTTGAATAGGTGCTACCTCTGATGACTTTCAACAGTTATTTGAAGTAGAACAAAGAGAAGGAATATGAAAGTAATCTTAACTGTTGACTTAGAATTGGTGACATATAAGTACTTGAAGGGTGGTTTAAGTCTCTCACCTAGAATCTTATGACTAAATGGAAAAAGGGTAGGTTATTAAAATGTGTGTTTTAATCATTTGCTAAAAATAATCAGGAAATATCCAAATAGTGATTATAGTAGTCTTTCTAACTGCATCTTTTTTTTTGTTTGTTTATTTTTTGGGCCATGTCTGGTGATGCCCAGGGCTTCCTCCTAGCTCTGTGCTCAGGAATTACTTCTGGAGATGTTCAGGGTACCATATGGGATGCTGGGGATCAAACCGGGGGCACCAGCGTGCAAGGCAAATGCCCTATCAAGCTGTACTATTGGTCTGGCCCTTCTAACTGCATTTTAACCCTCAGTTCACAGTGAATTTAATTGTATTTACCACTAAACTTAAAATTATTCTCTGCCATAAATTAATACCTTGGCACACTTTTTTTTTATTGAGGCTGATAATGTGTCTGTAAATAACTAAATATAAAACAAAGATAGAGTAGGTGCTTCTGATTTTACTAACTTGACCATATTTTATTTTCACTGTAGCATGATATGTTTTTTGTAAAGTCAGAATTTTGGTGCAATAAAAGATGTTAAGAGATATGCTTTAAAAGACCATGGAACTTTTAGAATTCCCATTATCTATAAGAGTATTCTTGACTTTTATAAACCAGTGACTACCAAGGAAGAAAAGAAAGGAAAAAATTAAACCAAGACTTACTTTTTTCTGACCTAAGATAAATTTTAACTCAGTACTTGGAGAAGTCATAACTGGATTCTAGTTAATTTCCCATATTGGGCAGAGTAGAGGGGAACAGCCACCCAAATTATGGATTAGCAAATTTAACAAGGGGATGAGGGAGAGTGAACTATTTTTCAGTAACTCGCACTTTAAAATTATGAACTGGATGTTGGTGAAGAATATTCCAAAAGGGCAGATAGGTCAGTACCTAGGCTGCGTGTGGATATTAAAGAATCAAGTACTGTCTTTGCTCATTATAAGCCCACAGAAGCAGTGGTTGTCTGTTGACACAGAGTAGAATTTCCTGATTCTTGACCTGGTCATAATCCATATCATTCCACTGGGGGATGAATCTTCCTAATCAGAAAATTGCCTTTCCCACACCTACATTTTAAAAACAAATGTGGGGAAAGAGATAGCTCAGTGGGCTCTCTCTATCCAAATCTCTAGCTTTGCATGCTAGAGACCCAGGTTGGATCACTGGCACGGCAAGGTCCCCTAGCACAGGCAGGAGTGATGCCCGAGCAAAGAGGTGGGTCATGGCCCCAAACCAGAAAGTAAAAACAAAGTTAGACTTGGCAAAATCAAGTTGTAGCTAATGCTACCAGGGTAGGAAATGTGTTGCTGCTTTGCTTGGTAGGATACCTGCCTCTGAGGTGCTGTTGCATGGAGGGAGCAATTCTGTTAAAAGACAGAGGAGTTGTTAGCTGTAGAGAACACCCATGTAGCCAGTTACCCCTCCCATGATGATCATGAGCATCATTCCAGTATCTTTGTCTTCCTGAACCAACTCCATTCTTCAGAGAACATTTTAACATACACTAATACTTTGGTAATAATCTTTTATATGCAGGAATTTTGTAGCATGACTTTATGACTAAACTTTTGTTAAATTATTTAGAAATATTGAGTTTCTGAATGTTATTTTGTGAGACTTGTTTTAAAATAGTAATAAATTGTGTTATTTTATAAAAAATTAATTTGTATCTCTTTTTTTCTTTTTGGTTTACAGGGCCATATTTTAGGTGATATAGAGTAACTGTGAATTTCCAGGGGTTACTCAACACTAAAGAAATTCAGAATTTAGGGAACATTCCACAGAGCTTGTTATGAGAAAGAGGGAGATACTGCTATGTGGCTGGATGTTTTCAGTATTTTGCAACCAGTGATAATCTCTCCCAGGTTTGTAACGCTTTCTCAGAACTTCACTTGGCACCTTTTCAAGTAATTAAGAAACTGAAGGGCTGGAGCGATAGCACAGCAGGTAGGGCGTTTGCCTTGCATGCGGCCGACACGCCAATCCGAGTTCGATTCCTCCGCCCCTCTCGGAGAGCCCAGCAAGTTACCGAGAGTATCTTGCCCACACGAGAAAGCCTGGCAAGCTACCCTTGACATATTCAATATGCCAAACACAGTAACAAGTCTCACAATGTTACTGGGCCTGCTCGAGCAAATTGACGAACAATGGAAGGACAGTGACAGTGACAAGAGCCTGAAAAGTACTTCCAGGGACAGCAAGTCACCATTTCTTGACCAATCCTTGTTTTATTTTACTTCTAGAAATGTACAAGATAAATGTTGGCTGATAGGCACTCAATATATGGTATAGAATAGCCGGGCCTTGGGTTTTAATTTCCCATACCCCATCCCCTTATTCCTCTCAGTTTTTCAGTATTTGGGGGAGCCACAGCCTGTGGTGTTCCCATCAGGTGGGCAGCAGCTTGCAGTGACGGGGCTGACCACTTGAGCCACATCCCTGGCCCCAGCCCCTTCTTGATTCAGAAGAGACAGGAAGGAGCCAGCAGAGGCACTAACATTTCTCCAGAACATAATTGGTGCTGTTTTCTTATTAAAAAAAACCTTTGGAGCTGGGGGCTGACCTAGTGTGCAAAGCATGCAGGAGGCACAGCTTCACTGCCCTTACTCATGATCCTCTGAGCGTTGTGAGGTGGGGCTCAAAAGACAAAACAAAATGGGGCCAGAGCGATGAGCACAGGGAATGAGGTGCTTACCTTGCACACAGACAACCTGGGTTTGATCCATGGCACCCCATGTGGTCCCCTGAGCCTACTAGGAACATTTAGAACTGGCAAGAACAAGACCTGAGCATAGAGCCAGAAGTAAGCCCTCGGCACTGATGGGTGTGGCCCCCAAATACTCCCTTCCCCCCCAAATGCAAAGAAACCTACTGTAGATCATGGGTAGTTGCTAGTTTTTTGTTTGTTTGTTTGTTTGTTTGTTTTCTCTTTGGGTCACACCCAGCGATGCTCAGGGGTTACTCCTGGCTCTGCACTCAGGAATTACTCCTGGCTCTGCTTGGGGGAACCATATGGGATGCCAGGGATTGAACCTGGGTCAATTGCAAGGCAAACGCCCTACCCGCTGTACTATCGCTCTGCCCCTCATTATTTCTTATAACACAGAAAACTAAAATCCTGACTTTTTATATCATGTAGTTGAATTATGTAGGTAAATAGTTGTCACATTAAAGAATTCCTCCTAAAAATGTCTGAAAAATGCAGCTAAAAAAAAGTATAAGGGGGGGCCAGAGTAGGGCATTTGCCTGTCACTCTGCCGACCCAGGTTCAATCCTTGGCATCCCACATGGTCCCCCGAACTCAGCCAGGAGTAATTCCTGAGTGCAGAACCAGGAGTAACCCCTGAGCATTGCTGGGTGTGACCCAAAAAGCAACAATAGCAAAACACAAAAACAAAAAAAGGTATGAGGGCTGGAGCAATAGTACAGCAGTTGGGGCATTTTACCTTGTAGGCAGCCAGTCTGGGTTTTATCCCTGGCACCCATATAATCTGCTGCTGCCTGCTAGGAGTGGTCCCTGAGCACAGAGCCAGGAGTAAGGCCTCAGCATAGCCAAGTGTGACATCCCCTAAAACAAAAAGGTATGGGTTCATAAAAGATTATATGGGTGGAGATTTGTGCATCTGTTGAGGGGGGTCAGGTATGTGAAATGCATGTAGATTGGAGCGAGAATAGACATAATATGGGCAATGAGGATGTGAGTACAGAGAAACCTCTTTATAACATATACCAATAGTAATCATATACAATAATTTTTTGGCCATACTGGATTAGAGGTTGACTAATTTTAAAGCCACATTTCCCTCGTTATATCTTGATACACAGTGAAACTTATTTTCCACAGGTACAATTACTTAGTTGAAAGGGATTTCTAAGAGGAGAAAAGTATTGCTAGATAGCTTTTCAAACCAGCATTTTTTAACCTTTTATAGTTTGTATTTATGTTTACTTAGCCTAAAGTTTGCCTTATAGGAAACATACAAAAATGGAATGTTAAAAAGTATTGCACTTTAAACTTAACACATATGGTACAAAGCTTAAAACCAAAAATTTTAACAATACTAGAAGATCTCTAAGAGGATGCAAAGCTTGACCACACAGAAATTTTCATGTTAGAAGTGAAAAGATAGTACAATTTAGAAATATTTTTATTTGTATGCATGTATTTGATAACTCCATTTTGCCTTTATTTAGAACATTTAGAACTGACAAGAACAAGACCTATTCATTGTCAAAATTTGAAATGAGGGAATGATTTCTGTAATACTCATATTAATTTCCCCCATGCAATTATTCATATTTTTATCTTACACAGAAAATTGTGACTTACACAGTTATGTAATTTTCTTTTCCTTACATTTTGTAGTCTTAGAATACTTTTTAAATTAAACTGATGCAGATATTTAGATGCAAAATGAGAAATTTGCACTGAAAATTGTCTAATATGTAACAGGCTTACATTCATTTTCATTAATATAAATCAGAGAATAAGCACACACCAAAAAATTCACAGTATTAGTAACAACAGAAAAGCTCATATTTTTTACCAAGCATTTCCTGTTTTAGCCAGGCTTTGCTCTAAGTATCTCAATCAGCAATTACCTCGATATGTCACAAGTTCATTCACAGCCAAGGTTGCCACGATGGCAATTTGCACTGAACGTCTCCAGCCTCTACCTGGCATTTTAACTGGTACCACTCATTTGCCTGCAAGTGACATTTTGTGAATGTGACTGTGGGACTGGAGTCCCTCTCCTCAGAAAACAGCATGGCCAAGTCCTACCAAGAGACACCTGTAAGACAGCAGACACAGGCAGCGATGATGCAGGTCTGCACGGAAAGCCCTTTCTCTGGGACTCAGAAGCGTCCCTTCAGGCCTAATTGCAGGAGTGCAGCCTCAGCCGCTGCCTCTTCATCTTTGGCCTCCTCCTCTCGGATTTGCACCAGCAACTGGAAGAGGTTTGGGGCTGGCCCTTCCGAAGCCCCTGTCAACCACAGCTGCCTTCTGATGGCCCCGCTGTGGTTGGCCCCAGCAATGACCTGCTCCAGGCGGGCCTGGTTCACGTTATCCTTATCTATAGCCCCCTTCTCCACCATCTTCTGCAGCAGGGGCTCCAGACGGATGACATAAGCAGATAACTTTTCTCCTGGGTTCTGGTAAGTGTTAAGAAACCTGACCTGCGCATCCCGAGAGCTCTCCACGCTCCCGAACACCTGCTCCAGCGCTTTTAGGCATTCGGCGGTGGTTATGGAAGGATTGTTATTCTTCAGGATTCGGATGACGTCAGCGGCAGGACCCCTGAGACTCTCCACTAGCCGCCGCCTCTTCTCCATGTCGGACACCTGCCACTCCTGTATGACTTCATTCGAGTGCTCCAGCCAGAGATCGAAGGGCTCCTCCCCGGGGCCTGGGGTGTCCCTCCCGGAAAACAGCGTCAGTTTCTTGTACCAGATGGACTCAACCAGGGGCTGAATGACATTATCCAAAATATAGTTCAGCATCCCTGCTGGCATATCTACGTCCGGGTTTGGACGGGGGTTCTCGAACCCAAGGACGCGGGCAACGCCCTGCACGGTCCACCCCTCTCTTGCCAGGAAGAGATGCAATCTTTCTAAGAATTCCGCATCTGACGTGGGAGGCTTGAAGATCACTTTCCAGACCCCTCCTTTTCCCGGCATCTCCCGGGGGATGGTGGCATAATCGACAGCATCCGTGAGCTCTAACAAGGCTGCCTTCGCATTTTCTTCCCTCCAGAACATTCTCCCAAGCACCCGATAGGGCACCTGGGGCATGGCAGCCTGGAGGGTCTCTTCGATTTCAGCCTCATCACAGTTCACCGGAATCCCCCAGACCAGAAGCGCTCTCTGGGAGTTCACATCCATGCCCCTGCACCAGTCTTCCAACAGCGTCATCGCCATGGCCCCAGCTACCCAGAGCCTCGTTCAGGCACCTAGAACAATACCAGGCACAGCCCCCTCGCCCCCAAATGTGCCCGACAGAGGCAAACGTCACGCAACCACAGTGAAACGACACTCACGCCCTGCTCGCCCGTGGCGGCCCAGCCTTGGCAACCCGAGTGCGAGTGCGGTGGAGGGGGTGCGTTTTCGGGGTGCAGTCTTTTCGGGGTGGCTCGGTCGGTCAGGCGGCCAGTGCCATCTCGGCTGGGGGTCGGTCAGCGGCTGGGGCTGGAGTGCGGCGGCGCTGGCTGGGAGCCGAGGCCGGAGCCGCCCCTCCTCAGCTAGGACGCGGGCACGGGCACGGGCCGCCGCTCTCGGGGAGCTTGTTGATCTGCTGTGTACGGTCCGAGTCGACCGTCAGAGGGCGAGGATCGGCTGCTGGGCAGAGACGCTGTGCCGGCTCCGGCGGGGCCAGCCCGTGAGCTCTGACCAGGCTGCATGCACGTCGGGATCCTCCTGGGCCACTGCGGAGACGCGGGCAGCGGGGCGCAGGGCCGGCGGGGCTGTGGGGGAGGCAGCAGAGAGGCAGAGAGGGCGGGCGGACACGGGCAGAGCCCTGGAACGCGCGTGTGCGCCGGCTGCAGCCGCAGTGACGCAGCGCGGCAGCCGGCAGGTGGGACCCGGGACCGCCGGAGCAACAGTGCCGCAGCAGAGGGCGGGGCCTCATCAAACCCCGCCCCCAGCGTAGCGTAGCCACGGCAACCGTGTCCCGGACGACCAGAGAGTGCTCCCATTCCTCTGGCAGCGGGGGGGGGGGGGGGGGGGGGGGGCGGCGGCGCAGCAGTTGCCTTGGTGCAAAGCGAGGGGCCAGTGGCACAAACTTTGATGATGCATTTCCTTTCTCACATTTTCCAGATATGTAAACAAAGCACCGTATTCAGAAAGTAATTCGAGTGGATTTCAGATATTGTTGAAAATGAGCACATCTAGGCAGATTTGTCTCATCTGGCCATATGCTGCAAGTGAAAATTCCTTCCTCGGCATGGTAGCCCCTCTCTGCTACCTGATAGAGCTCTTAGCTTTCACATTCATCTCACCAAATGAAAACGTTGTAAGTGTGCTCTTGACAGATTTTTGTGGGAGAGAGCTGAGAGGCCAAAATTTTGTAAAAGGATCTGCAGTCTAATCAGTAATCTGTGTAGCCAGGCAAACACTTATACTACTCCTGCCTGGCATCATTGATAACGGGTTAAAACAGAATTTATGGTTTAAAATATCCAATTGTGGGCCAGAATGATAGTATAGCAGGTAAGGCATTTGCCTCACGTGCAGCCGATCTGGGTTCAATACCTGGATGGTTGGTTCCCTGAGCCCACCAGGAGTAATCTCTGAGCTCAGAGCCAGGAGTAAGCTCAGCTGGGTGTGGCCCCAAAACCAAAATGGAAAAAAAAATATTTTAAAATTATAAAAAAATAAAACAATGTCCTATAAAGCAAAACAAGCCTTACTTTAAGCAGTCTCATATAGTGAAAAATCTCCAAGAACAAAGCAATCAACTCTTTGAGTTTTAAAACCTTATTTAATAAAAGGTTTAAAGATACAGAAGAACATCCAAAAGTAAATAAGTTACACGGGTACATTACAATCACATCAGCAAGAGTTTCTTTAGTGTATTATTATTTTTTTATAAAAAGCACACAAAAAATAAAATCAATCTGGTCTATCAGAACTGTACAGCAAAGGAGGTAATATTTATATATATATGTACACTATCTTAATATGTAACAGTCTTTAAAAAAAGGGTGCCACAGGCAGCAAACACACAAAAGGCAGTGTCTGATTTTCTCCAAAATAAAAGAAATATACTTATTTATATGCTATTAAAATATTTGTACAATAATTACACTGTCCAGGCTGTTGCTGTGCTCTGTCCCCTCCAAGGCCTTCCAATGAGGAAAAGGGGAAACAGCTACAAACTGTTAGAGGCAAATATTAACATAGAACATGAGGAGGACATACAATTGTTTTATAAAAATATTCATTCTTCCTGTAAACCCAAGGAGTTAGGCTTGCCAGTCTGGTAATAAATACCGTCTGAGAAACGCGAGCCCCAGTAACGACCGATTTAAACAGCCGAAGCCTGAGTACTTGTTGTATTCCTCCTTCATCTTAACATCTGGCACATGAGAAGAAAGAGGTTAGGTCACTGAGGCAGTTAAATATAGGGGATCCCTTTAGACATAAGTAAGCAGCACAAGACCCTCTGTGTCAGGGGCGGTGATAGGGCGGCAGAAGGGATGGGGGGGTACCATAGCTGTGAGTGGGCGGGCTGCTGAAGGCATGGACGACAGTGCAGGGCTGAAGCACGTCTCCTTGGGTGGGTGAGAGACCACAGGAAAGGTCTGGAACACAGGCACTAGGTTAGTTTCAGGCCCTTATCTGAGAGTAGGTGGAGGCTAGGAGATGCCAAGAGGGTGTGGAAGGAGATTATAAAGCTGAAGGTGTTTGTCGTTTAATTTCTTAAAGCAACAGTTCTGAAAAGAAACAGACAAGCGGAGGAACTCAGTGTTCACAGGGAGAAAGCACCATGAAGGGTCTCTCTATGCCCACTCTGCGGCTGCACCCACTCGAGCCACAGCCCCGAGCATCAGCTCGAGAAACACAGGAACACACACCAGTGCCAGGATAGGCATCCACCCTGGAGCAAAACCCTTCTAGAATAAGGTTTCTGGTGGGGGGGCTAAGAGAGGTACCATCTTGATTTTTTCCCTCTACATTCACCTGGTCTGGTCTCCGCAAGCTCGGAAGAGGAGAGTCACTTAGTCGGAGGTTTCTGTTACCACAAGTCCACAAAGGGGCCTGAAAAAATAAGAGGTTTAAATAGGAAAAACAGAAACATAAACCAACCTTGGGAAACGTAAGTAGCACTTTGGGGCTGAGCTGTAAAGGCACTCATATGACAGATTTAGAAGAGAGCCTAAATTTGCTACCCACCCTGCTGCTGGAGGGGATACTATGGTTAGCGGCCTCCAGACAGTGGATTCTAGTTAAGCACTGGGAGAAATGAACTGGGAAGTTGGAGATCTGGGTGGCAGTCCAGGAGTCAGGTGAAAGAATTTTGTTACTCCCATAGCAGGGGATGGGGATGGGTCCTGCAGAACCACAGTGACACTGAAATGAACGCTGAGGAATTCCTGATCGTAGTTTAGCATAAACTCCCGGCCACTACCAGCATCTGACCTGTTTTCAGGCTATCTCAGAAGGAGGAGCCGAAAAAGAACAATTTTCTTTTTCCTACTATACTGACCTGTCCTTGCATTCACTTGAATGCTTTTTGCACAACTCAAGTTGAGTAGCTACATCAGAACAGTATCAGTCCTCCTCTGGGGCTGGCAAGAGCAGAGGCCTCCAGAACCTTCTAGCCCTTTCACATTAAGGACGCCACACTAAATATGGATCCTTGAAACCAGAAACAACCCCAGACTTCCAGCTTCCAGTCAATGTGAAAGCACAGTTGAGAAGTTGCTTTTAACCCGCCGCCACCTTTCAGCTCCTGCCAGTCTGTGTGGCTCTGTGTTTTGGGGGATGTAGAGGGGAGCCCTCCACCTCTGCACCTCTTTCAGGGCTACTATTGTTCCTAGTGGCAGAGCTTCCAGAGCAAAGGGACCAAAGGGCCTTGGGAATGGGATGGGGGTGGGAGGTGGGGAAAGCAGTTGTCAAGGTGCCTGGTTTGGGGATAAATGCACTTGGGCCTCTGGAAAGCAGGAGGCCCCTGGTCCCTGAGAGGATGTTAAAAAAAAATTAAATATTAAGAATAAATAAATAGCTCCCAAATGACACAAGGCAAGGAATGAAGGCTCCTGTCCAACCTGGTGAGGAGACCCTGCCCTCCCAGGGAAGGATCCAGAAATCTCCAGCATGCAGAAAGGGGGTTGGGGGGGAGGGGACGGCTTAGCTGCAGCAATCAGCACAGGACCAGGCGGGGTTAGGTGGCTACTGAGGAGAGCGGCAGACAGGAAGTGGCACCGCATAGGCCTGCGCTAAACTCCCGCTGCCGTCTCCAGGACCTCTAGGTAAGTTGGCAAACGGCTGGAGACAGACTGGCTCCCTTGGGCCTAGGCCTGCAGCTCCCATCATCTGCTCTGCTCCCGCCAGCAGGCTGAGCGCTTCGGAGAGACACGGAGATCTCTTCCCCAGACAACCGAGAGAGAATTCCAGCCCCAGGAGGGCTGCCGGCACGCAGCAAGAGGCATCTGTCCTCTCTCCCCGCCGGCCTTCGGGTAACCACTTCTGAGGAGGAGGTGGCCGAGGAGGGGTCTCCGGAGCAGCTGAGCCTGGACATGCTTGTGCAGTGGACAGGCTAACCCCCTCTCAGAGCGGGCCTGCCCCACGGAACTCAGGGGCGTTTCTCTCTAAGCTGCGGCAGGGCCCCTTGCAGCCTGTGCAGTTTCCAGGGATGGGGGCTTTGGGGGGGTTGGCTAACGCTGGAACGAGGTGCGCTTGTGCTTGGCTTGCCGCGGTGACCCGGGAAAGGTGGAGCAGAGAAGGGAAACGGCTCGCAGAGGTCCGAGCAAGAGAGGCGGCGGCAGTGGCGGCTGGAGGCCCTCCTGAGGGGCAGGCGCAGTGAGCAGGGGACGCTCAACGGTTCCAAGAAAGCATGAGGACGACTTCGGACAGACCGAATGCAAAGAGAACTGGATCCTGCGGGCCTTGATCACCGCTCCCGGGCCTTTATAAATAAAAGAGCTGTTTATTTTATCGTCTTATTTGTTTCTCAGAGAAAAGTCCACGTGCTCTCTCCAGATGCCCTCTGCAGGGCCCAGGGAGAGGCGATGTCCCGGGCCATCAGCCCCTCTCGCCCGCGCCGCTCTCCTCCCGCAGGGCCGGCTGCAGCGGGGAGGCACTGGCTGCGGTGGCTGTGGTGGCTGCAGCCGCAGCAGCGGCAGCCGCGGTCTCTTTCTCCTGCTGCCGGAGCGCGGCCGCCTTCTTCTCCTGCTCTGCGTGGCTCTTCATGTGTGCGCTGCGGCTCTTTACCTTGTAGAATACCCTGTGGGCAGCAAGGGCATGTTCAAGTCAGAGACAGGCCTCCTGGCCAGCAGCCCAAATGTGTGCCTGTGTTTGCGCGTGCCTATGTGTGTGCGTACCTGTGCATGCATGCCTGGGAGTGTACATGCCACTGCGTGTACATGCCCATGCCTGCTTGCCTGCGTGTATGCATGCATGCATGCCTGTGAGTATACATGCCTGTGGATGCATGCCTAGGAGTGTACATGCCTGCGTGTATTCGTGCCCATGCATGCATGCCTGCGTGTGTGCATGCTTGTGTCTGTGAATAGGTGTGCCTATGTGTGCATGCCTATGCACATATGTGTTTGTGTGTACTTGTGCCTGTGGGCACGCCATGAAGGAACCCTCCCAAGGAGCTAGAGTTTGAGAGTGAGTGTGTGTGTGTTCATGCATGCACAGTGGAGGGTCCTCAACCTTTCCTAACCAGTTCATGCCACAAACACAATTCCACCCTTCAACCAACAGAGGATTCAAAGCCATTTTCCTTTTTGCAAAAGCTGCCAAGTAAGTGACTTCAGGGCCCTAGAAACCCTCTGAGCCAATCAAACAGCAGAAGCCTTCTTCCCTAGAAGCAGCACCACTTCAACCAAGGTCCCCAACTCAGTCCCCATGGCAACCAACTTACCTGCCACATTTTTTACAAGGGAACGTGTTCTCTTGATTCTGGATCTTGTTAAATGCCTCTGCTTTCTTCTTCTTCTCTGAGAAAGGTAGTGCCCTTCGTGACTTCCCTGGCCCCTCCTTTGGCTTCTCGGAAGCCTGAAGATCTGCAGACCCAGGGGCATTGGGCTCATGGCTTCGGAGAATGAGGATGTCACTGGCCTGGGAAGGATCAAAAACGGAGAGTTGAGGCAGGGAGAGGGAGAAACTTGAATTCTTGAAATCTCGGGGCAAAGAGGGCCCCGGTCACACCAGCCTGACAAAGAGCCTCCTCGCCCCCCAGCTTGGTCCTTCTGTGAGGGGGTGCCAGCCACGTTTTTGGGGCACAGCAGTCCTGTGGAACAGCCTAGCTGCTATCAGTTCTCTCAGTACATGGACAGGGAGCTCTTAATATCTGATTAATGACACATGGGCGATGTTTCTGGTCATTTAGTCCAGTCAAGACTTATCCCCTAAATGAGGCCCATGTTTTTATGTGGTACCTGGTACTGGATACACACAGGATGACAAATAGAAGCCCACTGCCCTAAAGGAGCTCAATGCAGCAGGAAAGGACCGAGGTGCAGGCAGTGAGCTTGTGATGTGCCAGAGCCGAATGCAGGACACCTGGAATAGGCCTGGAGATGCGGTGCCTGGGGCCGAAAGCAAGGGCACTGGGCTGGGGGCTTGTACCCACTCCACCACCGAGGGCCATCAGAAGTTCTAAGCATGGACAGTGGGCTGACCTGCCCAGGACAGAGAATCCAACAGAACCAAAGGAAAGTGCATGCAGAGCATAGCCAAGAGGTGTACTGAGTTGGTGTGGGCGGAGGATTATCTGTAAACCCTCAAATGTCTCTCTCTCTCTCTCTCTCTCTCTCTCTCTCTCTCTCACACACACACACACACACACACACACACACACACACACCCCTTGAGCAACCTGATGGAGCTCCTAACAGATCCTGGGTGGAGGACTCTCTCGACAAGGACCAGCTCTCGCCAGTCTGTCTTGTTTCCTGGTCTGTGATGTGATTTGCAGAGCAATGTCCTACGAGTCTGAGAACCCAGGGCAAGAACCCAGCCAAGTCACTTGTCAGAATACAGTTTCCTCCGACTGCGAAGAGGGGGAATCTAACACCTAACATGGGTTATTGTGAGGCATCAATGAGAATGAACATGAGAATACATCACAGACAACATGCATGAGGGACCACTCAGGGTCCTGCAGACCTTCCTGTCAGGGAATGAATGAGGCACTTAGCAGGGGGCCCTGGCAGGGCCCAGCTGATGAATGTTCCCTACTGCCCTGCACATCGGGCTTTTCACAGCACCACTGCCCAAGTCTCAGATACAGACACAGCCAAGCATCAAAATTAACAGCAGACTCTGAAGTCAGGCTGGCTAGAACCTGCCTTATCCTCGCCCCCATTTGCTCATCTGTAAAATGGGAACAATAACAGTACCCACCACAAGCTAACGAGGAGTCAGCCTGTTTGCAAGATGCGGTGCAGCAGGGATTTTCTGTTCTACCCTCCCTCCCACACCCGCAGGGCGCTCCTCTGGGCCCGGGGCTCCCAGGTCCCACTTACCGACTCATTGGCCTGTAGTGTCTGTGTGGCCTTGACAGCCGCTGCCCGCCGGCTTCGCTCTCGCCCCTCTTCCTGTTCCCCCTTTTCCTGGTTCTCTGGCACCTCCTCCTCCCCCTCCTTCCTGGTCTCCTTTACTTCCCTCTTGGGCTCCAGCCTCTCTTCACCTGGGAACTCTCTTCTGGGAGGAGGCACCCTTGGGAACTTCTGGGAAGTCTATGAGGGACAAGAACGAGGGCTGTGAGGGACAGCACTCAGCCTAGCTGCCCGGCACGCTGATGCTGGCCCTGCTCCATTCACCCAGCAGGCAGGGGTGAGAGGAGAGAGTCTTGAATCCAAGGGGCTTTCTGAACAGCACTGAGCACTTGACATCAAGCCTGGGGAGGGCGGAGTCACGCACGCAGCAGCCTCAGACTCCAGTCCTAAAGGGTACCTGTGATGTTTTTGCTTTTGTTTGTTTTGCTTTCAGGTCACACCTGGCGGTGCTCAGGGTTTACTCCTGGCTCTGTGCTAAGGGTTCACTCCTTGCAAACTTGGGGGGACCATATGGAATACTGGGAATCAAACCCAGGTCAGCTGCATGCAAGGTAAACGCGCTACCTGCTGTATTCTCACTTTGGCACATTTTTAATATTTTGGTCACACCCAACTGTGCTGAGAACTTACTTCTGGCTCTGTGCTCAGGGATCACTCCTGGTAGGACTTGGGAGACCTTATGCAGTGCCAGGGGTTGAACCTGTACCAGCCACGTGCAAGGCAAGCACCCTACCTGCTGTACTGTCTCTCTAGCCCCTGTGAAGCTTTTTCTACCTCCACCCCCTTCCCATCTGCCTTAATGGGACCAAAGCTCCCTGTGACCCATAGTAGCAGCATATGGATACAAAACCCCCAGATGATGTTAAATGGATACGTGGATAGAAAACTAAATAACTCTTTCCAGTCCTTTTTTCTACCCTCTTTATGTCAGGATAAATCTCGAGTTGGTTTTCCTGTGTCTTTTATACATCTCCTGTCTTATAGAGAAGACAGTCTCAGTCTCAGAACCTTGGCAGTAGGAGTTATCTCACTAGAATTAAATAATGATCCTTGTCTGGTTTTCATAATTTAACCAGTATCTTCTAGGACAAAAAATACTGATTCCCTATTTCTGACTGTGATCGTTTGCCTTAAGAGCACAAAATGAGCTGACTGGAAAAAAAAAAAGAGATTAAGTCGTAGCATGAGTGATATATGGACATGACAAAGTAATGGTGACACGTGGCAGGAGGCAGATACGGCAGGACTCATAAAGGTGATATAAGAATGACCCAAGTTTGGGAAACAGTGTTAGAAGAGGGACAGAACTCGAACTGGTGTCAGGACCAAAGAAACTTCCCCAGTGTTCTGAAACAAGACACTGTTGTTTCTCAATCACTGCCACCCTGGTGTTATAGAGAAGAGAACCCAGCGCCCAAGGCCAGCACCCAGAACATCAGCTCCTGGGGTCCCGCCCAGCCCTGGCCCAGGCTCCCAGTAGCTGCGCCGGGAAGGGAGTCACCTTAATATCCACTTCAACCTCTTCCTGCGCCGACTTCTCCTCACTTGTATCCACATCCCCAAAGGTCAGAGTCCCATTGCGGCCAATTTTCACCTGTTTTTTGTAGGTGTAGTAGAACTCAACGCACTGGGCCACGGTCTTGGTCTGGATCTGATGGGAAGCCAAAACTGTGGTCAGAGTCCCAGCTGGCTCACCCAGAAACGCCACCCTCTCTCACCCCCCTAAGTTGTCCCTCGACCGAAAGCTTCAAACAAACTCCAGTCAGCCAGGGAATGCCCAGCTTTCCTCGAAACTCCTGCCCGGTTTGTGACCCAGAAGCTTCAGCGTTATTCAGAAGAAGAAAAAAAAGTCCCCAAGGGCCATATGAAGCCATTTAGACATACATGTGAGCTGCACGTTTGAGTTACTGCATCTGCTTTAGTTTCTTGGGTCTATAATGGTGCCACTGCTTTAGAAGAGGCTATCTTTGGGGATTTTTTTCTTTTTCTTTTTCGGTCACACACAGCAGTGCTCAGGCTCAGGGGTTACTCCTGGCTCTGCACTCAGGAATTACTCCCGCAGATGGTTGGGGGACAATATGGGATGCCAGGGCTCGAACCTGGGTCTGCTGCATGCAAGGCAAATGCTCTACTGGCTGTACTACAGCTCCAGCTCCAGATTTTTTCTGATATATTTAAGCCCTGTATCATGACATTTGTAACATGCTTCTAATTTCTTTGGGAGGCGGGGGCAGCACACTTGGTGATGCTCAGGGCACCATCTGCGGCGCTCGGGATCAAACCTGGGTTGGCTGCATGCAAGGCAAGTGCCCTACACGCTGTACTAACTTTACTGCTCACTTTCTTTTTCCTTTCTTTGGTGGGGGAGGGGGTTTGGGCCACACCTGGTGGTGCTCAGAGCTTACTCCTGGCTCTGTGTTCAGAGATCACTCCTTTATTTTCTTTTTCTAACTGAATCACAGTGAGATACAGTTACAAAGCTTTCATGTTTGAGTTTTGGTAATACAATGATCAAATACCCATCCCTTCACCAGTGCACATTTTCCACCACCAAAATCCCCAGTATCCCCCCCGCCCAATCCCAACCCTTCCCCTGCTTGTGTGGCAGGCAATTTCCACAATATTCTTTCTCTACTTTGATTATATTCAATATCTTGACACCCTTATTACTTGGAATTTTCCCACCACCACTCAAACCTGCCAAAAAGGCAATGCTAGAGAATTTGTTTTGTATTGTTTGGTACAGATAGCATATAATATCGCACGGCCACTCTCAAATTCTAAAATTTTAATAATCATGGTCTGGAGAGATGAGAGATCACTCCTGACAGGTCCAGGGGACCTATATGGGGTGCTGGGGATTGAACCCGGGTCGGCCACATGCAAAGAAAATGCTCTAGCTTCTATACTATCTCTCCTGCCCCTCTCCTTCTCATGTTTAAGTAATTAAAGCAAGAGAAGGAATGAACTTCTTCCAACTACACGTAGGTGTACGTGTAAATTTACATATAGTGGAGACAGAAAAAGAAAATGTGGCAAATGTTAACTGGTAAGCCTACACAAGGAGCAAATGGATGCTCAGTGTCCTATTTCAGTGTTTCTGCAGGTTTGAAATTGGTCAAAACAAAAAAGTAAAGGTGGTGGGGGAGTGGAGGGGACAGTCTGGGCACCATTCAAATTTAAACCCAACCTAGCCCTGGAAACAGAGAATCCCTTCATAAGTGGGGTGGTTTCATTCATCTCTAAAAGAAACAATCGACAAAGGAGGATGAGAAATGTGCAAGTCTAAGGAATCCCAGGGACTTGCAAGAAAGCCATGGAAAATCCAGACGAAGCAGGAGACCCAAGTCTCACAGCTCCCTCTGCCATCCCAACACTGTGGGCCCCAAGCAGGGCTCATGTGTCAGCAGTGAGAGAGATGAGACCAGAAGTCTCCCAGGGCCGTCCTGTGCAAGCTCTGGTTCTAGTTCTGGGCTACCTCCCAGCAGAGGCCGTTTCTGCAAACTCTGCCCCGGTTCCCTCAGGCTCCCATCCTCCCTGTGAACTGGGAAGACAGGGATTGGGTCCTCTGTGCCCAATTCGCTTCACATCATAGGAATGGCCAAGTCACGTGTATGGCTTATGTCTTGCGTACACTTTCCCTGTGGATTCTCTCTAATGCTCTGTCAATCAAGCTCCCTGCATGAGGCACATGTCACAGCCGTGTCGTTTCCCGCGTGGCCCTACAACCAGTAGAAATTGCCCTGAAATAGAGCCTCTGCAGGGAAATCAGCACTTCTTCTGATCTCCAGACCAACCCAGCATGAACTACAAGCCAGGAGGAAAGAACGAACTTGGAGACACCTGTTTCCCTCACAGGTTCATGTAACTCAGGCCCTGCAACGTGAGACACAGCGGCTGCAGGGATGCAAGTCCTTGGCCTTACAAAGCACCTGACTCTCCCGAGGACAAGCTCCATCCAGGAAAATGAGGCTCGACTTAGAAGGCAGGCCTGCGTGTGAGGGGAAGTGGGCAAAAGCTCAGGCACATAGGCACCAGGTCTGTGCACCGCACCGACTGCAGCCCTTCTCCTCCCAGTTTCCCTTTGCAAGTCACTTGTTTGTTTGGGGGTCACACTCAGGGGTGTTCATGGGACCACATGGGGCCAGGGGTCCTGCATGCTGGTCCTTTGCACCACCTCCGCAGAAAATCAGGTCACTATGTTTGATGCTACTAGCTCTGATGCCCACATAGGCCTCCTCTGGGTTAAACCCGGAGCCTGGTCACACTACTCTAAGGGGAGGTAAAGGGGCTTAGAACCAAGGGGGAATGGGGTTGGGGGAAAGGTCTGATATTTTTGTTTCCTGGTTCTGTATAAAAGATAGTTTCTGCAGCTACTTAGTAGTACTAACTGCTTTTTCTGGTCGGCTGAGGATGGGTGGGGAAAGACCTCCTCTAAAGAGGTCTTAGGAGGCCTGGGGACCCTCCCAAGTAGGGTGAGTTCTGCTGGTGGTTCAGTGCAAGGGCCTGAGGATGTGGTGCTACTCGAGTCCTGCAATTCCCCTAGATTTAGGGGCATCCAGGGCCACCCCTGGCAGTATTTGGGGGAACCTGTGTTACTGTGGATCCAGCCTGGGCTGGCTGCATGCAAGGCAGGCCATCAGCCCCTGTAGTCACTGCAGCCCACTCTGCTGCTTCTTGTGGGGGCTTGGCAAAAACAGCAGGGACTTCACCAGCAAAGGGAGCCCCAAGTCATCCCTGACACAGAGTCCCAGCTCACCAGCTTCTGCACCAGGAAGAAATCCTTCTTGTAGATGGCGATGCCCTTGTTGAAAAGCTTCTTCTCCGCCATCTTCCACTGGTCAGAGCCTGCAGGGCAAAGGTGCCAAGGGAGTGTGATGAGGTGGGCAAGACGGTGTGAGTGCAGAAGCATCAGCTCAGCCAACCATGCCCCCCCACACCCTCAGAGCAACACCTCCCTGGTGAAGTGGGCACTACCCCTAGAACCGGTCTGTCGCCACGAGGTACAGGCCAAGTGAGATAACACACACAGAACCTTTGGAACATGCTTGGCACAGAGGTCTACAAAGGTCAGGGGCTGCTATGTGGTCAGACTTACAGTGCAGGACCCAGATAGGGTCCTGGCTGCCTCAGTGCCTGGCACCTGATGCCAAGCCCAAGATTCTGTCTGAAGTCCTGGCTCCTGAGCCTGGTGTGTGTCCGAGCTGTGTTCCCAGCCCCCCCCCCCACACACACACACACCACCACCACCAGTTTTGGAGTCAGTTTCTTCTTTCTGGCTCCAGCTTCTCCAGATGGCACCTGCCCAGCCCTCCCTCGGCCTGGCCTGGGTCTGTGCACTATGCTGAGTGTCAGCGATGCTGGAGTCCCCACGAGGTGCCAGGACCAGCGACCCCCCCATGGCCCTGCCCAGACCCACCTGTGTAGTGATAAGTTGCCAGTGGATGGTTGTGGGGCCGCAGGGGCCTCTTCAGTAGCAGCTTGTTCAGTGTTTCCTGAAAGAAGAATGAAGAAAAGATCGAGCTGAGATCCGTGGCCCTGGCACTTTGTTGCTGCTTCTTCCTTCTTTCATGCGGATTGGACAGGGACCCCTCCTGTCCAATACTGGTCAACTGGGCTGACTGTTCAAGGGAACCTGAGGATGCACTGCTGCTGGGGATTATCTGGGTCACCCCTGCAGTGCTGGGGCCTCCTGGGCGATCCACAGGGGACCATGTGGTACCAAGGGTTAAACTTGGGATGGCCCAGGAAAGGGGTCGGGGTGGGAACGGAGGTTAACCCTTCAACTCGTGCTTCAGTCCCAGGTGCTTCTTCCTGTCCCCCCCCCCCCCCTGAATGACTGAGGGACGAGAGTCTGGCAGGAGTGAAGCTGTTCAGGGACCTGGCACTTCAGTGGGGACCCAAATGAGCCTGAACCAGACACCGGGGTGCCTGGAAGACTTGGAGTAGTAATGTCTAGGGCAGAGGGTCCACTCTGGCAAGCACTGGAGAGTGAGCTTCTTAGACTGCGTCACAACTCCACATGGGGTTGCAAAAGAAAACCTTTGAAATGTGCCTTACAATAAATTTAAGATCTATTATCAGTACATTTAGTGATTTGAACATTTTATAAATACCTATACTGTAGATCATTTTTGCTAGTTTGTTTTTTGGGCCCACCTGACAATACTCAGGGGTTACTCCTGGCTCTGCACACAGGAATTACTCCTGGTGGTTCATGGGGGGACCATATGGGATGTCAGGGATCAAACCCAGGTCGGCCGCTTGCAAGGCAAGCACCGTACCTGCTGTCCTCTCTCTCCAGCCCCTGTATATCTATTTTATATTCACGAATATGTACATGTCTCTTTTATATACCAATGTACCCAGGTGTATGTGTTGGGTGAAAAAGGGTCACAGAGTTTAAGAAGCCTTCGCTAGAGATCAGAATGAGGGGGTCCCTGGGTCAAGCCACCAGAGCCTTTGCCTTTTGCCAGACTCTAAGCCTAGCTCAGACCTCACAGGCCTCCCACTCCACCAGGGGGCGCTGTCTCACCAGGATGTTCCCCCGAGACTCATGCAGACAGTGGAGGGCCAGCTCCTGGTTAGTGCCCGCTCCAGGGAAAATGCTGGAGCAGGCAGCCGTCAGCAAATCTTCAACTGGAATGGAGGAGAGAACAGGAGTGACTCTCAGGGCCGGTAGGGAGGGTGGCCCCCGCCCACCTCCTCCTGCTGCTCCACGCCCTCCTCTCACCTTGCCTCTGCTTCTCCCGGCTGTTCTCCAGGTCGTCCCACGGCTGCCACACCAAGTCTGCCCTGTGGGGGTCAGCGGCTGCCAGTGCCCGGTCCCTCACACAAGGGATTTCTGCTTGGAAGCGGGAGCCCACGTTGATCCGCCTACAGGGGTGGAAAGGGTGGGGAGGGAGAGGGGTTTGAAGAAGGGGGAAGAGGCGGGTGGGTGATGGTCTCCTCTGCATGCAGGGAATCTGGGGGCGCCAAGGACAGCAGGACACTGCCCACCAGGCAAGGCCCAGAGCCTGGGAAGGGCAGTCCACACACCGGAGGTTTTCTCAAAGGAGACACTTTCAGTGCTCAGAGGCCAAATGATGATGAGTGGGTCCTTTTAAAGTCCGTGACTGACACCCAGAAGCAGGGTAGGGGACAGAAAGGCTCAGGGTGACCCAGCTCCCAGCCCATGCGGGACCCTACTGCCCATCCTGGGACAGAGGCCGGCTTGCACTTACGGCTCAATGCTCACTGGGGTGGCCTCCCCCATCACAGAGAGGATAGGTGGGGTAACTTCAGCACTATCTGCGGGACAAAGAGCAGGTTAGCAAAGGGTACACTCTCCTGCAGTAAAACACCCCCTCTCCATTTCCTCCAGTAATCTAAGCAGGGCTTCTCTGCATGCAGAAGAGCTTGGGGGGGGGGGGCATTTGGGGGTACGACACAGAGATGGTCCCCACTGGAGAACAGGTACCAGAGCCTGACAGCTGAGAGGTCTGCCAGACGGGGTCTTTTCATACCTGCAAATACTACGCACTTCTTAAGGCTCCTATAAGGAATGAACACAACCACACGGAGCCTAGCACTTAAGAAATACCAGCAACTAGTCACCACTGCCCAGAGTCCCACACTAGCAGGAAATGGCCACTGATTACTGATCACTCTAGGAAGAGGCTGAAACCAGCAAAGGGGCAAAGAGAATCATTGTTTCATAATCATCTCCCCACTTCCTTTCTCTGCCCAGGTTTCACTCCTGAGGTAATCTTTTGTTTTGATCCTTACTGATGCCTCACCTCCCGCCCCTCCCCCCAGTTGGTTTTCCCCACCTACAGTTCGGGCATGGAACTCAGGGCCTCACACATGGAGACATGCACACTATCATTCTTTTAGTTTTTTAGTGTTGGGGACACACCTGGAGGTGCTCTGGGGACCACATGCAAGACAGAGGCCTTTACAAGCAAACGATCTTTGTGGCCCTAAGCTTTTCTTAGCACTGCCCAGTTCCCCAAGTCTTTTCCTGACTCCTGTCTGCTACACATCGGCATCTTTTAAAACCTGAGCTTTTTTTTCTGCTTTTTGGACGCACAGGGGTTACTCCTGGCTCATGCACTCAGGAATTATTCCTGGCGGTGCTCAGTGGACCATATGGGATGCCGGGAATCGAACCCGGGTCGGCCGCATGCAAGGCCAATGCCTTGCCCACTGTGCTATCGCTCCAGCCCCTGAGATCTGTTGGAAGCATTTGGGAGGACTCTCCCCTCCAAGTCTCCCGCCATGTGATCTGCTCACAAGCACCTCCATCTCTGCAGACCCCTTGGGCGTGGCCCTCCCTTGCGGCCCTGCACAGACCTACCTGCAGGCCTTTGCACTGCTCCCTTCCAAGCCAAACGCCCTGCCCCTTCCTGCCCTGGTGTGAGCCCCACCCTCTCCTGAATGCCTTCCTCACCTCAGGCTAGAAGCCCGCACCAGTGTGGAATGTGCCTGACTGCCCGCCCCGCTGCTGGGCCTACACTGCCCGAAACCTAGTCCATCGCCCAGGCTTTCCGGTTCCTAGGCTGCAATGTGGTAATGCAGCCTCCTGGGCTGCTCTCCTCGGACTCCACCCTGTTTTCTCTTTAGATCAGACCAAAGTATCCTGTGCATGCCTGTAGCCCTCCAGGAGCTGGTTCAAGGCTTTGCACCTCAGTGCTGGGTAAACAGGCATGGGAGACAGGCCTCCTTCTAGAACTGACTTCTTCCTGCACAATCCAGGCAGGGAGGGAAGCTTGGACCTTCTAGGGGAAGTGGGAGGACCCAAAGTCGGCCAGCTCCAGGTGGGCCATTTCTTGCCAGTGGACACCAGGGGGCACCAGAGAGCTATGCACGGATGAGCCTGGGTCAGAGGTTCAAGTGCTGGAGCTAACTGGGGGTAACGTTTTATTTTCACCCCCCCCCCCCAGGCAGGATTACCCCAATTCTCGGAGGTAATGGATCCTCTGTGCAGTGGGCAGCATTTTTTTTTTTTTAGCAATTCACCACCCAGGCTACCCAAAACTGCTTGCCCTTCAACCAAAGAGTTGTTTACGAGCTCCAGGAGACCCGTCTGCCCCACATTAAGAGCAAACATGAGGCACCAGGCCTGACATTAAACGCTTTCCACGTGCTCCTGCATCGGAACCCCACCACGGCCCTGAGAGGAAGCTCTTGGGCTGAACCATAGGAAACAGCTCTCTGCGGATCTAAAATTAGTTGCAAGGACTGAGACCCTCCCTTAAAATACCCAAGAAACGACGATCTGAGAGCTTCAGTGACCTACCCCTAGGGGATCTTGGACCGACTCCCTCCAGCCACCCGGGTGCTCCTGAACCAGTGCTCTCCCCTTCCCCGCCACTCAGGCACAGTCCCCCATGGGACGGCGACCCCCCCAGCCCACAGCCAGTGCAGCTGAGGGGCTCACTCACTGGAGCGCAGCAGGGTGCGGTGGGCACTCTTTGGCGTTATAGGAGGAGGGGCGGGGATGCTGTTGGTTGATATGATGGCATTGAAGTAGAGGCCAGAGCCTTCCCGCACGGGGCTGAGGATGGGGGGCGGTGTGTAGGGGGGCAGCTCGAAGCTCCGCTCGGAGGAGTGGTCGGCCAGGCGGACAGGAGAACGCAGGTGGCTCTGGTAGGGGGTGATGTTGGAGTAGACGGGAGGGGCGATGAAAGTGCCCGCCTTGGTGGGGATGATCAGGGGCTCGGGCCGCGGCCGCTTGGGCTTCCGCACCGAAGTTTCCCCTTCCAGCTTGGCACTCATGTCTTCAGCCTGGAGAAAGGAAATGAGGAGGGGGGGCCTCACTCAACCTCCGTGTCCTGGGGAAACTGAGGAGCCTCGCCTTCACCGCCCTCCCCCCCAACACACACACAGAAACCTATAAAGGGGTGCAGGTCCTAAAGCCCTTCGTCCTCTCTCTTCCTGACGAGGGCCTGAGGAGAATCCAGGCTTTAGGGGGAGGGAGGTTCACTAGCAATTTCGGTTACATATTTCTCTTCCCATCAACACAACCTTGCCCTCCTTTGAAGAGCTAAAAATTCATTTTTAGGCCTGGATGTAGCACTCAGACCATTGCTCCTAGACCAGCAGTAAAAGTATGGTCTCGGGCCTAGCTTCATTAAATTATGGTGACGTGGAGAGGTGTGACTGAGCAGGGGGCAGGGACAGGGACACACACACACACGGACACACACACGAGTTTCACCTCTGAATGTGCTATGACCAACAATTAACTCAAAATTTACCATGTGATGAAGCTGAGGTGTTTCTGCCAGCGCTCACTCTCATGTTGCATTTCTCAGGTGGAAAGGGGTGAAGAGTGGAAAATGCAGAGAGAGAATGGAGAGGTGAAGGGTCCCAGCTCTGGGCGAGGTGGCTCAGACTGGGATGCGTGTCTGCATCTGAAATCACTTAACCCTTCCAGGCCTCACCCACTACTTTGAAGATGGGGCTAAGTACTACCTCGGGGGATGGCTAGGAGGAAGAAATGAAGCCTCATGTGGAAATCACTGAGAATAAGAGCTGTGACTCCCGGCTAATCCTAATCGATGCTGTCTATTACCATTACCTGAACTCCGGGCTCTGCTTTTAGAGGGCCACCCACACTGTGACCTCAAGATGTGGACAGGGCATGGGACCACACAGGCACCGTCATCTTGTGCTCACGGAATTGTTTTGGTTCTTCTGTTCTCATAGTCTGAGTCCTGCACTCCCAGGCTGGATCACACATGTAACCCAGGCTAGCCCTCCAGCTCCCACTGTCCCCATAGGAAGAGAAGGCAGGGCCGGGAGGGAAAAGGAATTCCTGGCTCCAATTCTGTCTTCTTCTCAAAAGCATGAGCAACAACCAGATCATCTCCCTGGGCTCCAGTTGGCCAACAGGTTAAGGCTGGTCGCGCTGACCAAGAGGGCTGGTAACAATGGACGTTTCAGAAAGGCCCTGAATCCTCATGAGACTGTGACCATATTCTTCCACCATCTGTTCCTGACTGGGAAAGTCCTCCCAGGCAGGGAATCAGATGTAAATCCCATGACTGGCCAGGCAACCTCAGGTAGATCAGCCTCTGGCCTTTGCTGCACCATTTCTACGAATGGGGCAGAGTGAGCTGTGCAGCTGCTCGAGAAAACTGTTAGGGCCTCACTCTAGCTTCCAGCTTCTCCCACAAAGGTCTCTCTACCAGAGAAGAGATAGTGAGAGCAGAGATGCTATAGGGCTCAGGACCGCTCAGGACCCTCTCTCCCCGATGAACTCCACAGACTGTTACAGAAGCAGGCAGGCAGGCAGCACACGGTCACTGCAGCAAAGAGTCACTGTCACTGTCCTCCCACTGTTCATCGATTTGCTTGAGCAGGCCCAGTAACATCACCATTGTGAGACTTGTTGTTACTGTGTTTGGCATATGGAATACACCACGGGTAGCTTGCCAGGCTTTGCCGTGCAGGCGAGATACTCTCGGTAGCTTGCCGGGCTCTCCAAGAGGGACAGAGGTATCGAACCTGGGTCAGCAGGGTTGGCCGCATGCAAGGCAAAAGCCCTAATTTAAAAAAAAAAAAAAAGGGCTGGAGCGATAGCACAGTGGTAGGGCGTTTGCCTTGCACGCAGCCAACATGGCCAACCCGAGTTCGATTCCTCCGCCCCTCTCGGAGAGCCCGGCAAGCTACCGAAAGTATCGAGCCTGCACGGCAGAGCCTGGCAAGCTACTGGTGATGTATTCAATATGCTAAAACACAGTAACAACAAAGTCTCCAATGGAGATGTTACTGGGCCCGCTCAAGCAAATCGATGAACAATGGGAGGACACAGGAGGATTTCAAAAAAAAAAAAATTCACCCTCAGTGGGAAACTGCGCTCTTGGCGGTGTCAGCAGAAAGGAAGGAAAGACCCTGGGCCCAGGAAGAGAGAAAAACCCCAAGGAAAGGCAAGCCTTTGGGGCAGGGCCTCCTTAAAAGAGGCTGCAGATAACTGAGGCTGGCGATCAAAAGGTCCAGAAACTGAAAGAAGATTCTGGGCAATTCACAGAACCAGAGGGAGACGACTAGTGCTGGGGATTGCTAAGGAAGAAGGGCTGAATGAAATCCCAGGCTGAAACTGGGAACCTGGAGGTGATAAGGAGTAAGAAATAAGTGAACCCCCATGTTATAGCTTCTGATCATTGCATCTGATTAAAATGAAGTAATTCAGGAGGGCTGGTGCCGTTAGTGACCTGTCAGATGCAAAAGTAATTCTCTCTGGAAGGGAACACTGTCCAGAGTTTTTATCTTCCGAACTTTTTATATAGTGTCCTTCAATTAAAAAAAAAAGATATATAAGAAAGCAAGATACGATTTTAAAACAAGAGAGGCAAGAGTTATAGTACAGCAAGTAGTGCGCTTGCTTTACATGCAGCTAACCTGGGTTCAATCTGTGGCATCCTATATGGTTCCTTGAGCCCACCAGGAGTAATTCCTGAGTTCAGAGCCTTGAGGGACTAAAGAGAAAGTATAGCAGGTAGGGTGCTTGTTTTATCTGCAGTCAACCTGGATTTGATCCCTGGCAAACCATACAGTCCCCAGAACAGTGCCAGGAGTGATTCCAAATGCATTGCCAGGTGTGCCCCCCCCCCAAAAAAAAAACCCTTGAGCATCACCAGATGTGAGCCCTCCAAAAATAAACAAAAATTTAAAAATAAAAACAAAGGATAACAGATATTAGAAACATCCACAGGGCTCCTATTAATGAAAATACCACTTTAAGGAATCTATGCTTGAATGATGCAATAAAATGAAAGGCAAGTTTGAGATCTCCATCAAAGAACCAGAAACTCTAAAATGGAACCAAATTAGGTAACTGGAAAAATAAAGTAACTAAAACTGTGGAACTTGGTCCATGGACTTAACAACATATTAAACAGCTAAAGAGGAAAGAGTGAATGGAAAAATGGGTCATGCAGAAAATAAAACAGTATATGACAAGCAAAATAGGAATATGGTGAAAAGTTATCATAAACATTTAGTGGTGGTTTAGAAAAGAGAAATCATGGCAGAAGAAAGTGGACCACCAGGCTTGATCCCTGGCACCACAATGGTCCCCTGAGCTTTGCCAGAAGAGCGGAGTCAGGAGTAACACTATTACAGTATCAGGAGTTAGCCAGGAGCACCACAGGGTGTGGCCCAGAAGTTAAACAAACAAACAAAACTGTAGGAGAAAAATAAAAAATAGGGCCAGAGAGATAGTACAGCAGATAGGGCGTTTGCCTTGCACATGGCCAACCCAGGTTCAATTCCCAGCATCTCATAAGGTCACCGGAGAAATGCCAGGAGTGATTCCTGAGTGCAGTGACAGGAGTAACTCCTGAGCATTGCCAGGTGTGACCCAAAAAGAAAAAAAAAAAAGGAAAAAACAATGCTCTCTTCCCCACAATTCAAAAACAAGATAGTCCTTTACATTCAAAGGAGTAGTAATATGGCTTATATTGCAACACTGTAACTAAAAGGGAGCCAGGAGACATGGGAATGTTATCTTGAGAAAACAACTACCAACAGCACAGGATTCTCTACCCAGCAAAGGTAGCCTTCAAAAACAAATAGGAAGTAAAAATACTTTCAGACAGTCAACACCTGAAAAATTCATCACTATTGCTCACCCTCAAGGAAATATTAAGGGATACTTTTTGAGTTGGCTGGAGCAATAGCACAGTGGGTATGGCGTTTGCCTTGCACACGGTTGACCCGGTTTGATTCCCACCGCTCCTCTCGGAGAGCCCGGCAAGCTACCGAGAGTATCCCGTCTGCATGACAAAACCTGGCAAGATATCCTGGAAGTGTACTGCCAAAAACAGTAACGAGTCTCACAATGGAGATGTTACTGGTGCCTGCTGAGCAAATCCATGAACAATGGAAGGACAGTGCCACAGTGCTACTCTTCAAGTAAATCAATAATCCCATATGCAAGCTTGAAGATACAAGAAATGAAAAGCAACAAAAGTGGCAACTTAGCCTTCACCTCAAACAACAACAAAACAAAATAACCAGGCACACAATAAAAGGTTAAGTACTGGGTAAATCTAAAATGGTAACAACCAAACCATGTTATAATGTTCTTTCAATGGTAAAATACAGAGAATGAAAATGCAAGTCCATAATTCTAGGTAGAAACTGGCATTTGTAAGTGTTCGGAGGACTTTGCTTTGTCCAGGAAGAGATAAAGTACTGATTTAAATTAGATTTCAGGGGCTGGAGAGATAGCACAGCGGGTAGGGCGTTTGCCTTGCACGTGGCTGAACCAGGTTCGATTCCCAGCATCCCATGTGGTCCCCTGAGCACCACCAGGAGTAACCCCTGTGCATCACCGGGTGTGACCCAAAAAGCAAAAAAAAAAAAAAAAAAAAAGATTTCATCAAGCCAAGAACACGTGTTTTAATCCAGCAGTCTTCTCAGAAAATTCACTTGTATCTTGAATGGTACTAGTACCATCCTACAGGGAATGGAGAAAACAGTCCCTCAAATTTCCTTTTGCAGATGCTGGTTCTTTAATAGGAATCCGGATTTAAAAAAACGAAAAACTGGGGAGTTGGGGAGATGACTCAAAAGCAGGAGCCTGGGATGAATTCTGGACTATGGAGAAATAGTCCCTAAGCATCATGGTATGGCCCCAACCTCCCCACTTCTGACAACCCCCAAAAGAAAAGAGCATAAAAAAAAAAGAAGCTGGAGTCACTACAAGAATAATATATAATTCAATTAATAAATTTTCAATATAGAGGGGGAAATGAAATAATCAACTCATTTCCATCTAAAGGAAAGAAAAATTGGGGAGGGGAAGGCAAGGAGAGATACAGAAAGGCCAAGTAGGGTAAGCAGAAAGCAAAAAGCAGATGGCAGGGTCAAACCCAAGCATATCAATAATTACATTGACTGTAAACTCTATCAGTGCTCTAATTAAAAGACAAAGGTTGTTAGACCGGATAATAACAACCTCCAATTATATGCCACTTATAAAGAAGGCTACAAAAAAGGACTGAAACTGAAAAAAAAGGGGAAAAGATACACATTCTAACCACCTCCACCCCCACCCCGACACCAGCCAAAAGAAATCTAAATGTCAACAAAGGAGAGACTCAGAGTTAAATAAATAAAGGGAGGATGCTCAGGTAATGGCCCAATCCGCACCATCATGTCACCCCTCACTGCTGGTTGGCGCTTATTATTATATTTAAGGCAAAAGACATTATTAAAGATAAAAAATAAGCATTTCAAGATGATAAAAATGACTAATTCAGAGATCTAAGATGAATATAACGATCCGGACAGACAGCACAGTGGTAAGGTTCTTTCCTTATATGTAGAGGACCTGGGTTTCATCTCTGACACCCTGTGTGGCCTCGAGCCAGGACAGGAGTGACCCGAGTGCAAGGGCAGGAGTAAGCTCTGCACGCTGCTGGGTGTGGCCCATCCACCCAGGGGGAGGAGGGGGGGAGAGAGAGAGAGAAAGAGAGAGAGAGAGAAAGAGAAAGAAAGAAAGAAAGAAAATACACAGGGGTTGGGGAGGTTTCTCAAATGGTTGGAGTGAATGCCTTGTATGTGCAAGGCCCTCAGTTTGAACATGAGGCCTCATGTTCCTCGCCAACCCCTTCACTTGGTGTACCCCTTGTGACAGCCAGGCTGAGCACTCTCAGGCCTGAATGCTGAACCACCAGCCCCACACTGCTCGAGAGCTCCCTCCAAAAAAGAACTGAACACCAAAAAAATGAATGGAAAATTGTGAAACAAATACTTGACAGAACTGAACGAAACACACCAAACCTCAGTCTTAGTGAGACATTCCAACACGCACATGTCCGCAAATCAGATACCGCACCTCCTAGTTCTTGGACCACGTGTGGGCCCATTGGAAATTGGTGATCTGAAGGACCAAAGAGGGTTGAGGCACTGACTCCAGCTCAATCCTGGGCACCACATAGGGTTCCCCAAGCACCACCAGGTGGAGCCCAACACCCCTCACACCCCATCCAAAGCTAAAAAACCTCCATGACCTGAAACCAGAGGGGCACACACGCGTGTGTGCGCGCGTGCGCACACACACACACACACACACACACACACACACACACACACACACGCACAAAATCTGTTCTCCCCTTCCTAGGGTCCCTCCCCAGAAGCACATAGGTCCAGGCAACGGGCTGCCTACCTGAGCAGGGCCGTCAGCCCCAGGGATGCGCGTGGACCGCCGGCGGGTGACAATGACCGAGGGCTTATGTTCCGTGGGGTTCTGTTCAGGCCCTTTCCCGTCCTCCGCTGCACCGCCAGTCTGGGCCAGCTCAGTAGGGTCCGCAGTCCGCACCGGCACGGACACTGGGATGATGAGGGGCACCATCCCACTGTCCTCTCGGGCTCGCTTGGCCGCCAAGGAAGGCTCAGAAAACTCCACCCCACACCCGGTGGTGGAGGCCAGCACACTCTTCCGCTTTTCCTCAGAGCCATTGGCATCCTGGAGAGAGACAGGGGGCGTTGAGAAGGTTCAGTCCAACCTGCTGCTCCAGGACCCCTGTCCCATCTGATTCAGGCCTTGAGAGACCCACAATGGTTCCCAGAGATTGTGGACCTTTTCTCCACCCTTGGGCCCAAATCCTCTTCATAACCACTCAGATCTCCCAGACTGGCCTCGCACTGGGGACTCCCAGGCCATCTCAGTCCAGAGTGGCTTACACATGTTTTCTCTACGTAGTGAGTGGCATATAAAAGAGTAAATATATGTCTCTGGGCTGGAGAGCTAGCACAGGCTGAAGGTGCCTTGCACGCAGCCGACCCCAGTGTGATCCCTGGCATTACTGCCAAGAGTGACTCCTGAGCGGGCTGGAGCCATAGTACAACAGAGAGGGCTCTTGCCTTGCACATAGTTGGCCTGAGCTCGATCCCTGACACCTCATATGATCCCCTGAGCACTGCCAGGAATGATTCCAAGACAAAAGAGAGTGACCCCCTGAGCACAGCCCTAGGTAGGAGTAAGCCCTGAGCACCACCATCTGTGACCCAAAACCAAAACAAAACAGAGAACCATAAAGTCAGAAGATAATAGAATGACACATTTTTCAATACTGAAACAGTGCTGGGGATGTGGCTTGAGTACATGAGCAAGGCCCTGGGTTCAATCCCTGGCACCATATATGGTCTCCCAAGCACTGCCAGGAGTGATCCCTGAGCAGAGCCAGGAGTTAAGTCCCGGGCACTGCTGGGTGTGGTTCATCAAAATACGCATCTGCAAAAACAAGCACAGAACCTCTGGGAAGGTAAGGGAGATCATTTCCAGTGGAGAGAAAGGCTGTCCACAGACACAGGGCAAATTTTGCAGCTGGCTACATATGACCTGGGGTAGAGTGGGTCTGAGACCCCATCCCACCCCCCACCAGAGGAGGCAAACACTAGCTTTGGAATCAGATGCAAGGCCTCCAGCACAACAAAATGAAGACCAATTCCTCCCCTGTCATCTGAAGATCATGTGATGAAGTGTAGGAAAACCCAACCACAATACAGGTGCCTGGTTCACTCGTTTCCGATCGTCCTTGACTTTTAAATCAACTTTACTGCAGGATAACGGCCAAGCAACAAAAAAGCTTTTTAATTATAGTTCGATGCATTTTGATGAGTAAAATCACCCGCTTGGCCACCTCTAATCTTTCCAGATATCAGATCTGCAAATGCTAAGTAACCTTTCTCCCTACGCCCCATCCTTCAACTGCCATCCGGACATCCAATGACGCTTGGGCCAGACCCCCACCCTCTATGAGTACAAACCCCGCCTTGTCTCCAGGTGTGGACCCATCTATGAAGACAGTGTGTGGGGGCGAACTCCCTGAAATGTGGGGGGGGGGGTTCATTTCTCCCTGTAGATTGTAAAAACTGCCCTGAGGGGAGCCTGAGAGATAGTACAGTGGGTAGGCCATGTGCCTTGTAAGCGGTCTGATCCTCGGCATCCCATAGGGTGCCCAGAGGAGCACTGCCAGGAGTGACTCCTGAGTGCAGAGTCAGCAGTAAGCCCCGAGCATCGCCAGGTGTGGCCAAAATTCAACAACCACCAAAAACACTGCCCTTGTAGGCTTGGAGCCTCCTGTTCCCGCATCCCCCAACCCCCCTGCCCCACCCCACCAATACACACACACACACACACACACACACACACACACACACACACAGAGGTGCAGGCCAGGCCACGTGCCCGCTTACCTTGGAGTTCTGCAGCGAGGCCAGCTCCACTGCCTTCTGGGCCAGCGTCAGTAAATTGGCCTCCTGGGACGCCCGGCGCCTCCGTCGAGTGCTCTGGATTACCCCACCCCGTAGCACCTGCCCGCAGTCCCCCGTGCCCGACGCCCGCATGCTCTCTTCACCGCCCAGGGCCGGAGCCTCCCGCTCCCGACCGTTGGGGGCCAGTCTCTCCCCGTCGGCCAGCAGCTGGGACTCCCTCAGCTCTACGGGGTACCCCAGAGCCTCCGGGTGGGGCGGCCCCAGCGGGCCAGGCGGGGGCTGCTGCGGGGGCCAGTGATGGAGAAACAGGTTGCTGGCGGCCTCGTGCCCGGGCTGGGTGCCGGCCCCTTCCAGGGCAGTGGGGGGCAGGACCCCCTCCTTGGAGAGGCGGCGGGAGCGGCGAGGGAAGGGGATCTGGCCCTGAGGGAGCGCCGGCTGCGGGGCTGCCTCCTGCACCAGGGCCTTGCGCAGCTCGGGGTTCATGTCAGGGTTGGGGGCGAACGGGTAGGCGGGCATGCCGTGGTGGGCGAGGTGGGGCTGCAGCCCGTAGTCCTGGGGCTGCTGCGAGGGCGCCTGCTGCAGCGGGTAGAAGTTCTCGAACAGCTGCATCTGGGGCAGCGTCGCCGCCTGCGGGGGCTGCGGCTGCTTCTGGGGCGCGAAGGCGGCCACGGCGTTGGGGGGGCGGCGGGCCCTGCCGGAAGACCTGCCGGTTCACCTGGTGGCCAAAGGCCAGCTGGAAGGGCTGCAGCGGCAGCGTCTGGTTCGGGGGCTTCTTGGCCACGTGGAAGGAGTTGAGAGGCGCCTGGGGCTGCCCCACGTCCAGCGGCAGCTTCTGGGCCATCATGGGCCGCCCGGCGTTGCCGTAGCGGTCCAGCTGCGGTGCACCCCCTTTCTCCAGCTTCAGGGTCTCCGGGTGTCCGTAATACGAGGACACCCCCAGGCCGGGGTGCGGGCTCCCCTTGGGGGCGCCGTAGAGGGGCAGGCTGTGGCGGCCCCAGGCCGGATGCGGGGGAGGCTGGCCTGGCTGCTGCTGCCAGCCGCTGTCGCTGACCCCCGCGCCCCCTGCGCGCTCCGGGCCCATCATGGAATTGGGCCACTTGACGGAGGCCACCTGCTGCGACAGCATCGCCGCCGTGTTGCGCTCAGGCCCGAACACCGAGTTCAGCAACGTCAGGCTGTTCGCCGAAGGCAGCTCCACGGGCTGGGAGGCGGGAGCGGCCCCCGGGGGCCCTTCGTGCCCAAAGTAAGGCTCCTCCTTCACTCGGGAGGACTGTGGGGGGGCGTGGGGGGGCTGGGGGGCGGGCAGCGGCGGGGGCTGCTCCTTGGTGGCCGCTTCCTGGTCCCCGAAAAGGCAACGTTTTCGCCTGCTCGGAGCCTTGGGCTGGGCCTGGAGGTTCATGGTGTGGCCAGTGGGGCTCGGGCGGGCGTGGAGACAAAGGTCACCAATGGCCCATCCCCCGCATGCACGCAGGTCCCACCGGAAGCCTTGGCCCTCGCCCAGCAGCCAACGGGGGCAGAGCAGAGGCAGAAGGAAGTGCTGGTGGATGGGTCGGGCCCAGGAGCAAGAATGGCTGGTTCTTCCTTCGTCCTGGACTCGCCTAGACTTCCCGCTTCATGGTGCTCCTGCCGCGGGCCCTGCCGCCTGCAGAGAGAACAGGGAGAGTCAGTCACAGCGTCCCGGAGTGGGGCAGGGGGCTCCCGAGCCCAGGGGAGGGGGGGGTCACTGTGCTCAAGGACAAGCTGCAAGCATGCCCCAGGGTCGTTGGTGAGGCAGGAGCTTAGGGATGTTGGAGAGCAACAACATTTCCCCCCTCCAGACCCCCAGTCTCCAAGCTAAACAAATCAACTCAAAAGATTTAGTCGGATCCTTTGTGCCCTGCACCAGTACACCTGTCACAGGGGCCACCCCCTCACCTCCCCGCCCCTGCATGGGAAAAAGTCCACGGAGGGTCCCGTCTTCTCGGAGGACAGCCACTGGGTGCTGTGGCCCTGCCCCCAAACTCCTCCCAGACAGGAGCACTGCCCCTCCCCCGCAACGCACAGTGATTAGGGTCCCTCCTGGCTGTGCAGCCCCCGCCAGGTTCCTGCAGCAGGCCCAGGCCCTGGGTGGGGGGGGGGTGTCCCCGCAGAGGGATGAGCCGGTGAGGCCCCAGGAGGGCGTGTGCCGTCCCAGCCCAGCCCCTCCCTGGGAGGAGTCAGCCTGCTGGGTGCAGTCATTCTCCCCCAAACTTGCACAGAACCTGTTTGGCAGCCCTGGCGGGCTGGAGCCTAGTAGCTGGTCAGCGGGGTCCACCCACCCTTCTCCTCTGCCAGGGAGCTCCTGAGCCCAGAACAGGACGGCTAGGATACTGGGGGCTCCGATTGCAGAATGAGGGTCCCAGAGGTCTCTCCACAACGGGGTGTGACGAAAGGGCTGCCGGTGTCTGCATCTGTGTTCTGACATGATTTTGAAACAACAGGTGGCTCTGTTTAGACTGAGAAATATTTTCTTCTTTTTTTTCCCTCTTTGTGATGCCACAGATGAGTGGAATCCAGCATGGGGCCATATCCCCAGGCCAAGACCAGTATTTTATAACCCACCTCTTTTTTCTTTTTTTCTCTTTCTTTCCTGTTTTTGTTTTTTGGGCCACACCCAGTAGGGCTCAGATCTACTCCTGCTGGGTTTGGGGTTGGCCCTCAGGAAACTATGGGCTCCAGAGATTGACCAGAGGAGTGAGTGCTCAGTGCAATGAGGGGTCTGTCACCCCAGCATTTTACTATTTTTATATGTGTGCAGTATGCATGCATTTTTTATTTTTTTGTTGGGCGGAGTGTCTTGTTTTGCTCTGCGGGCCACATCTGTGGTGCTTGGTGCTTGGGAGATACTCCCAGCTCTGTGCTTCGGGATTGCTCCTAATGGTGCTCAGGTGGACCATATGGGACAGATCCAGGCCTGTGAAGGCAGAGCCTGCACACAACCTTCAGAGCCCTCTCCCTGGCCTCTGCATGCAGTTGTGGAATCCCAGGGATCCGATCTGGGTCGGCTGCATGCAAGGCCAGCAGCCTACCCACGGTACCATCTCTCCAATCCCCTAGAAACTTTTTTTTTTTTTCCGACGGGGGAATTCTGTTTCAAGTCAGCAGGGATGAGACCTACATGGTCTCTCGCTCTCCAGCATCGATTCTGATCCTGGGTCAGTACTGTGAGACGAGGAGCTCAGGGGAAGAGCTCCGGAAGCTCTGGGAAACAAGCCTTTGGTGTGCAGGAGGACTTTGGGCCTAAGGCTGGATTTGCTGGGGTCAGTGTCAGAATTCCCAGGGAACCAGCCAGGTGGGCCAGGCAGGCGGGGCTGGGCTCTGGCAGGACCCTGGCTCCTCCCAGTGATGCCCGGGCCCCCAGGGAACTGCACTATCGCGCTATCGCTCCTCCGCAGGCTTCCGCAGTTTCCCAGCCCTTCCCCTTCCCCATGACTCACAGTGGCCCCGGGTCTGCCTTTCACTTTCCCCCACACCAGACGGGGAGGATCTTCCTCCTCCATTTCCTTCCTACCAAAAGTGTCTGTCTTGCTTGCACCCCCTTTGTCTTCACGTCAGAAGGGGGGGGTAGGGAGAGACCAGGAGGGCATCGGTGCTGATTCCTCCCCTAGCCCCCCAGGCAGGAAGGGGCGGAGGGCACCCAGCCGAGGACCTAAGGACCGAGGATCAAAGAAACCACCTAGAACAAAGTCCACTTCACTCCCTTTAAAGCCTCATTCTCCTACAGCCAACAATCCGATTTGGGGCGGGGCACCCTCCACACCCCCAAAGTCAGTCTCCACCCAGAAGAGACCCTAAAAAAGATGGGGGGGGTGGCTGGAGCAATAGCACAGTGGGTAGGGCATTTTGCCTAGCATGCGGCCAACCCGGGTTCGATTCCCAGCATCCCATATGGTTCCCTGAGCACCGCCAGTTCCTGAGTGCATGAGTGTACAATTCCTGAGTGCGCGAGCCAGAAGTAACCCCTGTGCATCGCCGGGTGTGACCAAAAAAGCAAAAAAGAAAAAAAAAAGAAGCAAAAAAGGTTGGGAAGCGGCAAAGGAGCAGGCCCTGAGCAGGGCGCGCAAGGGCTCTGCCTCCATCCACCGGCAGGCCAAGCGTCAAAGCAGGAATGTGCAGGGGCTGGAACAATAGCACAGCGGGTAGGGTGTTTGCCTTGCAAGAAGCTGACCTAGGTTTGATTCCCAGCATCCCATATGGTCCCCCGAGCACCGCCAGGAGTAATTCTGGGTGCATGAACCAGGAGTAACTCCTGTGCATCGCCAGGTGTGACCCAAAAAGCCAAAAAAAAAAAAAAAAAAGCAGGAATGTGCAGGGCAGAGGAATAAAGAGAAGAAAGAGCACAAGGGAAGGGGGCTGCTGAGGGGGGTCTGGCAGGTCCACTGTCTGCGAGGGGTCCCTGCAGAGCTCACATGCACTCCCCACTCCCACTGTCCTGTGGCCTGTGTGGGGGTGGGTGGCCTCCAAGTTCATGCCCACCCCTCAGCGCTAGGGCCGGCTCACCTGGTCAGCTCCCAGCCCCAGTCTGCTCACCAAGAAAGACCACGGCAGGCTTGGGAGACACGGGTAGGGCATTCATCTTGCACAGACCAACCTGGATTTGATCCCTGAACACTACCAGGTGTGGCAGGAAAACCAAAAAGGAAAATAAAGAAGTTGGTCACAGTGCAGGAGACCAGATACACCCCAGTGGATGGGGAGGTGACTGGTGGAGCCGAGCCAAGAGGCCAGTTCTGGGGAGACTGCTGAGAAGCTTCCTGTCACCCCTCACCAGAGCCTGAGTCCCGAGGGGTAGGACAGCAGACCTGGGCCCTCAGAGAGAAAAGGACATTATGTGGGGTAAGAGAGAGAAAGAAAGGGGCCTGGAGACGCTGGGGAAGGAAAGGCGGGCGCACTCTGAGGCCCTCATCCCGGCCTGAACTGTGGGCAGGTAACTCTCCCATCTCCCCAAACACAGCTGAGACCCTCTGCCCTCAGTAAGAGGAGGCCTGCACGGAAACCTGGGCCCGCAATGGCCATTTGGGCCCCGGCTCTGGGCCTCGACTCTTCCTCCCCTGCCTTGGCTGGTTCACTGCTGTTAGGAGCTTTACACAACCAACTCTTAGACCTCATGCCAATTCCTCCTCTTCCTGCCTCAGGTGAGAAGCAGCCTGGCTTTCCCCACGAGGAAGGAGAGGCCACAATATAAGCAGCCTATAAGCAATGAGGGAATGGCAGGCCTCCCCTGGGCCCTATCTGGGTGCAGGAGCACCATGGCCCAGATGGTGGGTGCAGGAACACCATAGCCCAGTGGGTGCAGGAGCACCGTGGCCCAGATGGTGGGTGCAGAAACACCGTAGCCCAGTGGGTGCAGGAGCACTGTGGCCCAGAGAGTGGGTGCAGGAGCACCTTGGTCCAGATGGTGGGTGCAGGAATACCGTGGCCAAGACAGTGGGTGCAGGAGCACTGTGGGTAGACAGTGGTTGCAGGAGCACCATGGCCTAGTGGGTGCAAGAGCACTACCAGAGGAAAGCCTGCCAGCAGAAAGCCAAGCAGGCAGCAACCCACACTCCGCTCGGACTGTCACGAGGGGCCCAGACTCACTCCGAGGTGGGGGCATCAGGGCGGCCATGTGACAGACAGAAGGGTTAGCAGTCAAGGTTACACAGGGAAGGTGTTCAGTGAGACCCTGTGGGGACAGAGGGATGAGAGCCAACAACAGACACTCCTTACCCTCTTGGAGGAGAATGCTCCAATCCCGGGTCTATTCACTGAGCTTAGAGGAGTCAGGTCTCAGGACCCCCCTCCCCCCCCCCCACCCGCACAAGAAACCCAGAACATGGCCCCGGGCAAGCCCCGCATCTGCAGGCAGAGCAGGGAAGAGACTGACAGGATGAGGTGCGAATCCCCGACCTGTACCCATTCCTCTCCCCTGCCCTCCCCCTCCATTCATAGCATCACATACAACCACATACACTTGGGGGGCAGACCCAGGCATGCAAACCGCTGCCCAGCCCCTCCCCTCCCCCACCTCCCCCTGCGGGTCAACACCTGGAACTTCTCCAGCCCAAGTTCCAGTCAGGGACCACCACGATCCCGTGGAACCCCCGGGTCCCGCTACCTGGAGCTAGGCAGAGGGTCTCTGTCTTTGCCGTTGTCCCCCGCAGCCCCCACAGAGAACAAATTTCACAGGCCAAGCTGATAGACGCTGTGCCCTGGCACTTGGCTGGATCTGCCTCTGGGGAGCTCACCCAAGGGGAGACAGAGCATGCCTGGACGTATCGGCCCTGAGGGCCGGCGTATCCACCCTGCGCCCCAAAGGCCCTCTCTTCCAGTCTCTCCCTGAGACAGCCCGGCTGCCCCTGGTGCAGAGATAGGGTGAAGAGGTCCTATCCCCTAGCTGTTTTTTTTTTTTTTTCTCTTTTTGGGTCACACCTGGTGATGCACAGGGGTTACTTCTGGCTCTGCACTCAGGAATTACTCCCGGCGCTGCTTGGGGGACCTTATGGGATGCTGGGGTCAGCTACATGCAAGGCAAACTCCCTACCCTCTGTGCTATGGCTCCAGCCCCCCATCCCCTAGCTGCACTCAAGTCGAGACCAAACTGGACACAACTCCTGCCATCCCTGGCTCTCGCTTTCTCCAGGG